GATTGTTACAATCAGTCGAAGAAAGTGCTTAACTTATAAACACAATAGTAGTATCAAACAAACCCTAAATCCAAAAAACGAGCCACGTGTGTGGAGATTTAAAATAGAAAAAAGTTATTCACCTGTACTTTCCATTGAAAAAAAGGTTACAAGAAATTAAACTTTAAATCAAATCGACCACAAAAGGAAATTTAAAAAGTGTGCATGCACGTTTAAGTTAGTTATATATGTAATTGCTGAGCTGGATTTTATCGAACATAATAATACCTCCACTCCTTAGAATAAGCTAAAACAGATAGAACCAAACCATTCAGGTCTCCTTTAAACGATAGGACGTCAGATTCTTAATAGAATTGAAACGTGGAGCCCTCGTTCCATCAATAGAACAGACCTCATGTACTAGATGGTTGCATCAAGCTTGTTATTGTTGGAAATTTGCCAACTGGTAATATATGCCAACAAGGACAGACGAAGCTGGCTCCAAGCTCAAAGCATGAATGCGATAGGCATATTCGACGCGGATAAGATTTTTGGGTAGCCATACAAACTATACTCATCCTATAAACCTTTACTTTTTTTTTCTTTCTAATTGATTGATCGATCGATGAATTCGATGCCATGGCCACATTTTGGAAGCGATATTGCCAGCAAATGAAGTGGGGAATGTGACTTCTGCCAAAATTGAGTCCCTACTTCACTCACTGCATGGCATGAATATATGGTTAGTCTTACCCAATCTAGCTAGCAGCTCACTTTCCTTCGCTGTCCAAAACTTCAAATTTCAAAGTAAAATGTTTTCCTTTTCTTTTCCCTTCCTTAATTGAATTTGATTGTTGAATGAAGTCAATGATGAAGATATTTAATCTGTAACCCGTGCAAATTCAATGATGAATTGTTTTGTAGCCACAAGGGCACGGGTAAAAATTGAATATATATATATATGTCACTGACTTATTCAATCTACCCTTTTCATGATGGCACAAAGGGACAGTCTTCAAATTGTGGCAAAAATGATGCTCAGAATTCAGGTGCTGTCGAGTGGTCGTGAAATCAGCAATAATAACAGCCATGCAGACCTAAAATCTAGCTAGAAAGTGAACGAGTCTTCTTTCTTTATTTAAGCTATCTGTGGTTGAGAAATAATGAGAGAAAAAAAATCAGACTCTTATTGTTTCGTTTTCCGAACTTTTCTGTTTCAATCGGTGTCTCATGCTCAAAAGTAGTTCTCTTTTTACTTTTGCTATCTCTTTTCCATTTTTCTTATGTTCTTTAACCTTTCATTGCCCAGCCCTCTCTATCTTACTTTAAATCATGAAGGTTAACGGTTCGGGATATTCCATTGCTGTTTTGTTTATTTTAATTATGTTTTTTTATTAATTACATCCCTCTATTTTAATTAACATCTCAATTTTATTATTCCATTCAAATTTTTAGGTAATATCGTTAATTTTCAATGAAAGACACATATGATATTGACGTGGTGAATTTTTTCAAATAAAATTTATTTGTTTGAAAAAAATCTCAAAATAACCTTCTTTTTCTGTGTCTTTGTATATAAAGATAAATAATTAATTTCATCCCTCAATGCTTTTTGCTCTCTCTCAAAAACCCAAAGAAATTTTTTTCATAACATAGAAGCAGAAGCAAAAGGTAGAAAAAAAAAGGTTATTTTAAAGATTTTTTTTAACTTTTAATAAAAAAATTATCACGTGTTAATATCTTATGCGTCTATCATCGAAAATTAATATCATTGTCTGAAAATTTGAACGAGAGGACAAAATTAAGATGCCAATTAAAGTAGAGGAAAGCAATTAATGAAAAATTAAATAAATAGACAAGATTAAGACAAACAAAACAATAAAAAAATATATTCTTAACCATTAACCCAAATTATTGATGACTAGTTTTGAATATCGAGTTCGATGATAAATGGCTTATTTTTGTTGTTATTACATTCGTAAAATAAAAAATAAAAGTCTAGAGATTTTTTTTCTCCATAAATATCCATAACTCTATATATAAGAACACAAACTGTTTAAAAACCTTTAATTGACTATTGTACTATTAACTAAACACTATCATTATGGTACACTGGTAGGTTGTCAACGATTGAACTCATATTGGATTATAATAGCTCCGATCCGATTTATTTAATAAAATAGATTAGATTGAATCTTACAAATTTGGATTGGGTTTTAAAAAAGTGAATCTAGATCTACTATGATCCGATTTGAATTCGGAGCTTTATCGGATTTATCATTTGGTTTTTGTAAAAACTACTTACTATGTTTAACAAATTGTTTGAATATAAAATAAATGCTAAAATATAGGTCACTTGTTTTTGTTCTTTATTCTTATTTATATGCCACATAAAACCTTAAATAACATAAAACAAGCCATTAAATCACTTCTAAACTATATAGTGCTGTATTAATTAATACTTTATTTTGACTAATGAAACTCTAAAAGGACTTAAAAACAAGACAATAAAAAACGTAACATCTGAAAATAGTTAAACTGCATTAGATTCATTAAATTATTAAATTAAATCCTTAGTTAAGATTTTGTAGGTTATTTTTTGTTGTTGTCTTATGTTTATTTTTTAACTTTTTGACATACACTAATAATACAAAAAATAACAATATTTTTTTAATAAACTAATAAATAAAATTTCTATCCTTGTATGTATTGTTATTGTTAATTTATATTCATGTCACGTTTTTTTTAGAAAATATTAATGTCAATATAATATTAACTTAATTTGTTTAGTAATTATTATTTTTAAGAGTTATATATATATATATATATCTAGCTTAACTGTCAATTATTAATTTTTGAAAGATAATTAAATGTATGCCACTTTACTTGAGCTCGGTTAAAAATTATTTTATATGATTAATTTTAATTTATGCCCGTACTTAATTTAATTATAATTATCAAAAATTATTTGAAAATCAAACATGTTTATATTGAATAAACATTCAAATTTATTCATATACAAATAACTACAAACAATCTATCAAAAATCAGAAATATATACTGTAAGTTAGTTAAATAATACACGTGTAAAACACATGTCAAGAAACTAGCATTACTTAAGTGTGGACGCCAGCACTTCAATTTTAAAGAAATTCATTTCAATTTTATACATTACAATAAAATATTACCGATGCCCCCTTCTAGCTTTAAATGATAGTGGTCTCTTGATGGTTTTCAAGAGGTCACAAGTTCAACAGCAAAGGTGAAAATATCGAAATTGTTTACACAACATGCAAGAGGAGGTCAAAATTAACCCCTCATCTTTGTTTTGTGGTCAGATTAACTCTCTATCATAAAATATCAAGATCGGTTTCATCTTTCCTGTAACGCTAACAACTAACCATTAATCATATTTATGATTAAAAAAAAAAAAATTGGTTTGTCCTCCTCTCTAACACCAAAACTAACCACTGATCATATTTATGACAAAAAAAGAAAAAAGAAAAAAAAGAAATTTAATATTGCATAAAGATAATTGTCTATTCCCGTTAAAGCTCCGGAAAGAAAACATTTTTTTTTTTTTAGAAATTAAAAGAAAACATTATTCATAAATGTTCTCGTCCACTGATTGTGGTCACCATCATGAATTATAAGAGAATGCATTTGAAAAGTCAAAACTTCGGTTACTTTTTACTTATTATATTGGCTGGGGAATCAAAATTTCCAATTTCCAATTTCAGTAGATGAACTGCAAAGCTACGAATAGGAAACCTGTCACGAAACGACGTGCATCAGCAATCCATTACTTCACTCCAAACGAATATAACTTCTCCTCGTGGATGTTTTAAAAGAAGAGTGCAAGTCGACAGAGTCATTTAAAAGGGGCTTTCATCATTAATCCATGCCCTCCAGTTTCATGATTTTTCCTTTAAACTCGCAACCATTTCTGTTTCGACCTTAAACCCTGTCGGTCCGTACACCAAACTTTTATAGTTGGGCTGTACTGGCCCAAATTTAGAGCGATCCAATTATACAAGACACTAAATAACGGGCTCATAGCTCGAATTCCGTAGTAATATTTTATAAAGCATGAAAGGTGCAGTTTTGGATTTGATTAAAAGTTATCAATTCATCACTAATATGAAAAAAAAAAACCCACTTAAAACCACATGAGTTATTCATTGTTTATTTGTTGAAGTCTTTAATTTTTAATTTTTATTTTTTTGCATTTGTATTTTGGTTTTAAAAAATTGTTTATGGTAAAAAAAATAGATTGAAGATTCAGGCTAGAGTGAGTTATTTACTGACAAACAAAAATAAAACTGACACTAAGCAAAACCCAATATTTCAACCCAAAAGCTTTGTAAAAAGTGGAAGCCTAATCCAAGCTTCACCCTGAGAGTTTCTTAGCCCAGCCCATCACATGACCAGTGGAAGACAATACTCGACCCAATTCAATTGCTTAACTAGGTGAGTCAGTGGCAGGGTTAGAAATGGGCTATGGTTGTTGGGTCAATATAATTCATTAAATAACTTGACCCACAGAGCATGGCCCTTTTGACCCAAAAGTCGAAATAAAATGTCAAAGATATTTTTTGCGAAATCAACGCATATCGTGGGACCAGCGATATAGATATGTCATGGACAAAATGCTACAAGCTCAAATAGCTAAAACCTTATAAAATTGGAAGTAATAAATCCTGCCTGTGGTATATCTATGAATCTGTGGGTAGTGGTTTTAACTTTGAAAGATTCACCGACAAGAGTTGGCGGAGCTTATCACAATCTTAGGGTCCACTTTAGCACCAAGCCTTGTTAATTAATAAAGGGATTAGGATCGCCTCCTTTGTCCACACTCCATTAGACCGATATTGGCCTGGATAAGAACAAGAAAAGGATAAGTCGTTAGACCCCACACACATCAGCAATAATTATAGGTTAAAAGAACATCAACTTATGATCGGTAAGACGTGCACTCATGCTAAGTAATTTGTTTCAAGCAATCTAAAGGTTTTGAGCAAATGGGATCTTTAATGGCTGGTTGGGACTCACCTGTCCCTGATCCTAAATCAGGTGAATATTCTTGGCAATCATGGTTGTCCAATTTGTCCTATGACACACATGGAGCTTTCTTTTTTTGTTTTTAGAATACGTGATCCGGGGTTTCTAATAAGTGAAAACTTCAGTGAAATACAGAAGGAATCGGTCACTCACTAAAGGAGAGATTGATGCTTACTGGAGATTAAAGAAGAAAACAGAGGAGGATCATCTCAAAGCTATTTCTAGTCTATCCAGTAGCAGTCAGCAGGTATAATATCTACATCGAATCCATCGCTATATATAATTAAATGAGCCCTTTAATTATTATTTTCAAGAAAAAGAATATTCCGTATGTTTACATGGCATGTATGTGACAGGATGGGACGCACGAGGATTATGGAATAGAATTTCAGAGATCAAGCTCTTTCCCTCCTGCCAATACCAAGGAGGGGTTCGCGGACATGGAAACTGAAGCAAGTTTGGAGCAACTCATAAAGAAAAACGGCTGGTAATTAATTAAGCTAAAGCCTCAGCAACTTACCCATCATGGTCACAAGTTCGAAGTCTTTTAATCTAGTAAATGTACATTTTGATTAATCTAAGCTGGTTATTGCAGGTGGGCAAGTAGCAACTGGGCATTTCTAAATGAACCACCAGTACTGGAGCGTTCTTCTAACAATTACACCCCACAGTTTCACATCGCCGGTCTTGCCACCCCAAAATCCAACACTGGAATCAGTGCTAAATGATGGCCTTGCACTTGCTTCCTATATATATATATATATATGAAGGATTGCCATGTGTCTGCCTTCTAATTTGCAGATCTACCATATCTAAGCTAGTGGGGAATTATGGATTTGCCTCTTCAGCTAAGCTACCACTCTGGTAAGATGGTGTACATATGGAGTCGAGTGTGATGAGTGGATTTTGTATTTTGTCTGTTTTTCCATCTGTACAAATTAAGAGTGTAAAATATATAGCTAGACATAAAAAAGTTGACTTGCAGTGTCTGGTGCTTTAGTGATTGCATTATGCTTTTTATCTCTATAGTTTCTAGGTGCCTGAAATGGAAAACCTCTATCAGTTTTCTGCAAAACCCTCCAGTTGAATGGAATTCCCTACTTGATCAAGTTGAGCAGCAAAGGCCTTCATGAGATAGATATCTTAATTGATGAACTTTGTTGAGCCTTGAACCTGATTACCTCTGACCCCATCACTAGGCCAAGTCCCAGTCCCAGGGGCCTGAAGCATAAAATAGAAATGCAGGGCGTGGCATTAACAAAGTAAAATTATTTTCTAGATACCGGTATCCAAGATTTATGTTTCGAAATGACGTATTTCTTAGGCTCGTGGCCTAAGAAATCAACTTTAAATCAAGAGAATTCTCGGTTTCTTTGGAGTCAATAACATGCACTGCAATGTTTAATAGGCGGGCAATCGATCTTCCCTTATCTTGAAAGCTTGTTAGGCAAATTATTTGGTCCAAATTTTAGCAGTTCACGAGGGATTGAGCCCTCTGGAGCAATAGTTCGCATAAGAAATGTAGCACAGGAGTCTCCAAGATTGGGGTAATTGTGAGGGGTTTGAATGGGCCTGTTCTCTTCCTCGTTTTGCAAAGGAAGATTTATTGTTGCTGGGCTTTATTGGCTATTATGTACTTACACGAACCATATGAAAATGATGAAGATAAATCCACTAAAATTAAGAACCCGCAATGATTTTTTCGAGAAAAATAAATTTCAAAAACTTGTTTTTATTATTTTTTGATATTTTTTTGTGTTTTTTTTTAAATTAACGGAATTTGATTACTAGTAAACAAAAATTAACATATTATTTTTGAGAAAATGAGTTCGAAGTAAAAAAGAAAAAAAAACATTTTTTAAAAAAATAGCTTTTCTAGAATTTCTTTTCTTATTAAAAGTTATTTTTTATCAAACAAACAGAGCGTCAATCACTTGATTGTTGGCTTGCATGGTGAGTTTCATGTATCCTCCGATCTATTTCTTTTTTCCTTTTTATTTTTTTTGAATTTTATGTATCTGAAATGTGCTTCACATGTCGTCGATTTCAAATAATGAAATTAATACGTTCAATAAATAAATAAATAAATCGAGGATCACATTCGGGATACTGATTTCCGGAATAACCACTCTTCTACGTGGGTGTGAGTGCGGGTTACTACTTACTATTGCTTATAAAGAAAGGAATAACATAATCTTATAAACTTGGTTGAAGCTAACTACTTAGCCTAGCGGACTAGGGTCCATGAAGACGAATACTGCCTTTTTTCTTTTTTCCAACTCAACCACAATATTTTTCAATCTTCTTTCAAGCACTTGAAAGCAACAAATAAACTTAATTATGTTTTCTTTTACTTCACACAACAATCATGATGTCAACCTTCAGAGTTCAGACTCAATCATCCCAAAATTAACTAATCCACGACGAGACAGTCCATTAGTAATTCTCTCATGGTGTCCGGTCCAAATCACACTTTCCCGGGTTGTTTGTTTTCAATAGAAGGGCCCCATCACTCCATGGGTGTTGAGTTAGTGCATTTGTGTGGCCTCAACAGAATCATGACAAGGTACCGTTGCACCATCTCTCACCTGAGAAACAACCCTCTTCTAATCATTCTCCAACTTTCATTTTACTTCTTTACACTTTAATACCTAACCTCAAATATCAAATTTGAAACAGTCCCCGAATTTTTATTAAATACAAAAAATCATAAATATAACTATCGGGGATGATTTAGTATCTAAGTTTTCATCCTTGAGTATTATCTACTGCTTAATCCTCAGGAAGAAAGATTATGATTTTATTTTAGGTGCTCCCTAGATATTTAAAGTTTTATACAAAAAAAAAAAAAAACTAGTAATTTTATAGTAATAATAATAAGAAGAAGAAAGGTCATAAGCATAATTTTCTAAATATGTTATGTTTATACATTATCCATTTTCCTGTCTTAAACGCACTTATCAGTCGTGTATTTTTTTTTTTTGAAGGTTTTAAGGGTAAAGTATAATAAAAGATGAATTAATTTTGTCTATTTAAGTACTTGTTTGCATATTTTTTTAATTTAAGGATCCGAATGTACTTGTGATAAGCTTGCGAGCGTATCATTTCCGACATATATAGCCTTCTGGGTAGGGATTAAATTTCAAATTAGTCCCTCTCGTTTTGGAAAATGAATTAATTAATCTTTTTAATTTTAAAAATTAATTATTAAGTCTTTTTAGCTAGTATTGATCACCACTAATTCTTCTTTTCTTATCAATATTTTTTATTTTTTTTATTTTTTATTTATTAAAATAAAAAATCAAAATAAGACTAAATAATTTATTTTTAAAGTTAAAAGGACTAATTAATTTTTTTTAAAGGACTAGTTTATAATTTACTCTTGGAGTAGCTGATTTCTTTTTTGATGTAATTTGCTAGGTAGGTAGGTAGGTATACGTTTTGAAATCTTATAATATTGCTTATATTTTTAGAAAATGGATAGATATATATAAAAAATAGAATAACATTCGGATTTATTAAAAACGATAAAAAAAATTTCACATTGATTTTTTTTAATAGTTATCTTTTTTTATAAAATAATTTATATTAATTATTTTTTAAGTATTATAAAATTTTTCTAACAAGTTATACAACTTTTAGTATGTTCCAGAAAATACTTGGGAAATTTGAAGGACCTTTACTCCAGAAAAAATCAAAATTAATATAACCGTTAAGAAGGAATAAGTAGTTACTTTATGAATTAATTTACAATAATTACTTTTTGAGTATTATAATTTTTTTTATATATACATTTCAGAAAACACTTGAGAAATTTGAAGGACCTTTACTCTAGAAAAAATCAAAATTATTATAACAGTTAAAAAGGAATAAATAGTTACTTTATGGAATAATTTATGGTTATCGAGTAATTTACAATAACTATCTTTTGAGTATTATGAAAAAACTTTTGGTATGTTTCAGAAAACACTTAAGGATATTTGAAGTACCTCTACTCCAGAAAAAATCGAAATTACTATAACAATCAAAAAGGAATAAATAGTTAACAATAAAAGTATAGAAAATGAAGTTTACCATATCAACAGGTAGTTTAAAAATGTCATTCGTTCAAACCCGTAAATCATTTAGAAAATTTTGAGGTGCTTCAGATTTCAAATTATTTCCTCGTCAACTGCCGATATGTGATAGGTGCAAAATATAATTTTAGTTCAAAGGGATCAATCAAATGGCCCATACCCTCCTTTTTTTTCTTTTTTTTTACAGTAATGAAATTTCATCAAACATTAACAAAAATTGCAGTCATTGAATGTAGTACACGGTAAAAACCCAGTATAAAAATTAAAGCATAATGACTCAGGTAAAATAAGATCAATTGTAACAGATAAAATACAGAGAAAAGATCCAAATTCTGAAGCCATCAAGTCTGAGAAGTGATAAAATCACATTCTCGTCGTAAAAGACGATGCGCCTGGAATCCCACTCCACTTTTAGCATTAGTCTGGAGAAATATGCTCTTCGAATGACATGTCGGACCAAGAGTTTTAGATCCATCCGCTTAGCCGATCACGGCAAAATGCGTCTTAAAATGGTCTTAGGTTTCATTAATTTAAGCAGAACTATCGTAGTCACAAGGAGAATATTGATTTGTTCAGCGAGTAGATTGGGCCAAAAATCTCACAAGATCTCCAAAATTATTGAAATCTATCAAGCAAAAAACTTATCTTTAAAGAAAAAGAGATAAACTACACCAATCATGCGAGTAAAGCACGTCCTATAAGTTATTTGAGGAAATAAAGCTAGAGAAAGTTAAAGCAAAGGCAAAGAAACGAACTTGGTCGAAGAGTAGGAAGAGATTGGTGTAAAGATGATTCATAAATTTCATATTTTTATGAAAAAATAAAATACAGTTTTCCATATACTAAATAATTATAACAGAAGCAGTAGTTTCAAAAAAGAAAAAAGAAAAAAGAAAAAAGAGATAGTAAAAAATCTCTCTCTCTCTCTCTCTTCTTTTTTTTTTTTTTTGTGAATACAGCGTACGAGTAGATGGTTTAATTAAATCTTAAATTATAAAGAAATTGATATACATATGTAAAAAAATAAGAAAAAGTCCCTTCCTTTTCAGCCCAATCAAACAGGAAAAAGAAAGAGAAAAAAAACCAATTGAGGAAAAGAACTTGCACCAACCACTACACCAAACCCACGAACCTTTTTCCATATAACGGCTACGTTCGCCAAATTTCTAGAACGATAGCAACTCATTGACGTTTCGTGTACAGTTCAGAAAATAAGAGGCGACTGCCCAACAAATCGCTTCCCATTATACTAGGGTTTTTGATAAATTTTATAATACATAAAAAGTAATTAGTAATATGTATAATAGTTAATTTATAAATTTATTTTTAAGAGAAAAATAGACATATTGAATTCTATTCGAATTTATAAAAATTGATAAAAAAAATTTTATATTTGCTTAATTGTTTTAAAACTTTCTCTTTCTTGTTTTTTTTTTTGTGTTTATTTCTTTATTCAAAGTGAGTTTATAAAATAACTAGTATATATATTATTAATTGCTTTTTAAGTATTATAAAATTTCTTAATATTTCTAATTAAAGTGACTTTTCGATCGTGTAATTCTCTTTACAAAAAATATATAAAAATATAATAAAATTTTAATTCAAAAAAATTATAACTATGTTTCATTGAAAATTATTTTTTATTAAAATAGAAAATTTATTATAAAGAATTCATATTTTCATTCTTTTAAAAAATCGTCTTCAGTCGTTTTTGTAAGTTCTGATTTAAAATAAAAAAGTTATGCCAAATATGCAGTGAAAATTAGCTTGAAAATAAAAAAAATTATTAAAACAAAAAGAAACAATACAGCATTAAAGAATATTTTTTCTTCTACAATCTTCTCCCTCTAGTATGATCAAACTCATAAATAAATAAATAAAAGTAGTTAAATTAAATGACCATTAAACCCAGCCATCTCACACCAAATTTTCAGGAAATGTAAGAGGAATCTATTTTAGTCACTTCGTATCCTTCAGTTTTGTCCATAAATTGTGCTCCCACTGCTTCGTATCTCCAAAACATTAACTGCTCTCTTATCCTTGTTAAAATTTCCAGGTTTCTTCAAGAAAAAAGAAATTTTCTCAATAATGGCTGATAAAAGCAAGATCTTGATCGTTGGAGGCACTGGATACATCGGAAAATTCATCGTGGAGGCAAGCGCCAAGGCTGGTCACCCCACTTTCGCTTTGGTGAGAGAGAGTACAGTCTCTGATCCTGTCAAAGGAAAACTTGTCGAGAATTTCGAGAACCTAGGCGTTACTTTGATTTATGTAAATGCACAAACCTCTTCTGCCATGTTTTGCTGATCTTGTTTTCTTCTTTTTTTCGGAAAAACAAAAAAGAAATGCGTTCATTGCATATATTGTGGGGCATTTGCAGGGAGATGTCGACGGCCATGACAACTTGGTGAAGGCAATTAAGCAGGTGGATGTGGTGATATCAGCGATTGGGAGCATGCAGATAGCAGATCAAACTAAGGTCATTGCTGCCATTAAAGAAGCTGGCAATGTTAAGGTTGGCCCATGATCATATATTCTTTTCTGTTTCTCTATATCTCTCTCTCTCTCTCTCTTTTTTTTTTTTTTTTTTTTCTGTGTACGATATTCTTTTACTTTTCTGATCAAGTTATCTTATAAAACACAATTAGGAATGAGACAGTGAAATATTTGCGAATTCAAGATTAAATATGGATGAAAAGATTTAGTCGAGAGATTCTGGATGGGGACAAAATCTATATAAAAATTTGTTTGAGGGCAAAATTGAGACTATCTATATAATTTGTGGCTATTTTTGAGGTTTGCCCAAGATAAAACTCATTCACTGAATACTGTTATACCGATCTGTCACAATTCAAACTTCTAGTTACTGCTAATATATGTGATTTTAAATAAAATAATATTTTTTTAATAATTTTTAATTATATTTTTATTTAAATTTTTATTTTGTTCTTTGAGTATTTAGGATTTAATATTAGTAATAAATCTATCAAGTGCACCTTTTTGGGATTGAATTAGTTTTTCTACCTTTCTTTTTTTCTTACATTTTTCATATTCATATTCATACTTTCTAATAGATATTTTATTCAAATAATAAAATTAAAATATAATTATAAAGTAAGAATTTTGGCACTCGATTATATTTGTTTGTCACACCTAATCAAGTAAACCCGGAGAGAATCATCTCGAAAAAATAAAAAAGAATTTGAGAAAAAAATAAAATATTATATAATTTATATACATAATTTTATTTGCATAAATTAAAAAATTACCTTCGATTCTTTTGCCAAGCTAATTAGAAAAGATTTTATAAGAGATCCCCGATTGTTTGGAGAAAGAAAGAAATATAATAACAAAATTTGAAGATCTAAAAATTGTTTCACTCACAAATATTTTTTTGAAACTTTTCTATAAGTAAAAGTGTCTCACTAAAATAAAAATTGAAAGCTTTTATAGGTAGAAGGAAACTCGAAAAGACATCTAGAAAATATAGAATTTTTAAAATAATATCTTTGAACAATGAAAGCCTTTCAATGTAAGAACTCTAGTACCTATGACCTGTTAATAGAGAGAAGAATGATATCTCATAGTTAGGTGGAGATTGAATCTTCTAATTTATCTCATTCTTCACAGATGTAGGTTTAAGGTAAAATTTTAATTGAGTCCCACTTTCTATGATGCCTTGAGCCGGCACTGCGTGCAAAAGGGAGAAGGAGATATGTAGCAGAACATGAAAATTTATATGGAAAAACTTATGTTTTCCTCTTAAAAGTACATTATGAATTTGGAAAATATATAAAATTATCTGAAGGGTTGAAATTGAAGGTTACAAGAGAAATAATAAACTAATTTTGATGGTGGTCTGGTGGAGTCTAAAAATATCAACTTAAGTACAATCATTCCGATTATTTTATTTCTCTTGCTGTTTTTCTCAGTTTGTCTAAAAGATTCATCAAAAGTAGAAATGGGATTTTTTTTTATGGATAAAAATAATGGAATCTTTTGCGTGTATTGTGTTCAGAGATTTTTCCCTTCAGAATTTGGTTTGGATGTGGATCATGCTAATGCTGTTGAGCCTGCAAAAACTGCATTCGCTCTGAAGGCTCAAATTCGGCGTGCCATTGAGGCTGCAGGGATCCCCTACACTTATGTGCCTTGCGGCTTCTTTGCTGGGTACTATCTCCCTACACTGGGACAGTTTGGACTTACTGCTCCTCCTAGAGACAAAATCACCATCTTAGGAGATGGCAATGCCAAGGGTAATGAAGCATATGCTGTTGTTAACTCTCTCTATGATGGAAAACGAATTAGCGTCTTGGTTCTGACATTTATTTTCTCAACAGCTGCTTTCAATAAGGAAAATGACATTGGAACCTTCACCATCAAAGCTGTGGATGATCCTAGAACCTTGAACAAGACCGTCCTAATCAGGCCTCCTAAAAACACTTACTCATTCAATGAGCTTGTTGCTCTATGGGAGAAAAAGATTGGCAAAACCCTGGAAAAAACCTATGTTCCTGAAGAGAAACTTCTGAAGGACATCCAAGGTCAGTGAAACCCTCACCTATAAGACAGAATGCCAATGTCAGCATTAATTATTTCTGTCAAATTCATGATGTGAAATTAGGAGCAATAGTAGAAGCAAATGCAAATTTTTAGACTTAGTGAAGAAACAATGTTGTTGGTCATTTTTACATGATAATAAATTCATTCGTTGATTTTTTGCAGAGTCTCCAATTCCGATTAACATTGTTCTGTCAATCAACCACTCAGCCTTGGTTAACGGTGACTTCACCAACTTTGACATTGATCCATCATGGGGTGCTGAGGCCTCTGAGCTTTATCCAGATGTCAAATATACCACCGTGGAAGAATACCTTGATCAATTTGTCTGAGGCATTGGTATCTCCTGCTCTTCAGTTACTAATGAAATAAAGAGTCGAATAGTGGGAAATATGGATGCATCTTGCAGATAGTGTTTGTCCTAGTTAATGAGGTCTCTTTCAGTATAAACCTTGTGAAATGATGTTCTGCTCTAGTTAAGGGCCATGGTTTGTATCTAATGCTGGAAAAGACACTCTGGGTGAGAATAATGTAATTGAGTTCTGATGAATATATAAACCATATCTTTTACGTTTCTTTTCCAGCTTATGGCATTGTGCCCCAATGTATCAAGCCTGATGCTTGCATTGTTTTTTAAATTTTATATAAATGAAAAATGATTAAAAATTATAAACAGGAAGCTGATAACAAAGCGAAGCCAACAAATGATTAAAAATGAAAAAAAAAGAAAGGAAAACCAAAAATTTCCGATAGGTTTCAGAAATTGAAACTCCATTACATGAACATCCACTTTCTTGAAAAACTTGTTGAATACATATAAAAAAAATAAATTTGTTAGATTGATGCCCTCTATTATTTACTTCTGGGTTCTGGCACGGTAGCTGTTGCAACTAGCAAATTGGTTTAGTAGCGTTGATGTTAAAGCTGTGATAGTCAAATTACAGCCTTCAGAATGCTGAATTCCCATTTCAGTTTAGGAGGATAACAGTACAGAAATAGCTCCATTGATTGACAGGACATTACCGTAAAAAACAATTTTCGATTTTCTGGAAAGATTTCCATGTCCAGCCAATGCCAACAAGAACAAGTAGGATCACATGTTTGACTCTACACCGGATGTATGGAATTCAGCAAGTTGCTTATGTAAGACATAAAGTTGTATCTAAGTTCATGGGCTGCATTTCTTTGGCTTCAAGATATCCTAATTTTTATTCACTTCCTCATGACATTGAAGTTTATTAAAACAATACTCATTAGGTAGATATAGAAAACTACATGTGATTAACTTAAAACAGCAATACACTGGATAGGTGCTGAGAAAACTTGTCAAGAAAGGAAGAAAAAGGGTTGGCCCCCATCCCATCCCAAATGGGTTTTGCTTTCCATCATATTCACTACTTGAGAGACCTAACTCCATTGCGATCATTACAATTACAAAAAGTATAACTCCGTTGCCTTAGTTTCTTCTTAGGTACTTCTAGTCACTTAGAAAACCGATGGATAAGGCTCCAAATTAGGCAGTTCTAGTCACTTAGTTATCATGCCTTAGTTTCTTCTTCTATTCCACAGTCACCATCCAATAAAAGTTCAAAGCAATTCTGGTCTACCTTACAAATTAAGGAAGGATCCATCGACAGCATTGCGGGATTGATTTATCATGTGCTCTTGAATGGGCATAATTTGCTAGGTTGCTTGTGAAAATATAACATCAAAGGAAATTTCTTTATCCTCCAAATATCAGAATATTGCTCTAATAATCACCCAAAGGGCTCTTCTAGCACTTAGCATTGACAATTTCTTGAAAATTTGGAAAAGTTCCAGCCTTTAGGTAGTTACAGGGTCAGTTTGAATTAAAACTTAAAAAGTTTGGGAGAAAAAGAAAGGTTAGACTGTCTATTGCCACATTCAATTCCTCTACCTATTTAGACAGCTTACGTTAGAACTTATTACCAGCTTCCATACAAGAAACTATGAACCAATAGTTATTCTATCCTTCCACATTATTACCAAATTTTGGAGGAGACAACTTTTGTTCTTTTCTGAAGAAAGCTGTCGCCTCTGGATGACCAAATGAAAACTTGTCTACAATGAGAATAATTTCTGCCACTCTTGTTTTTTTCCTTCTATAAAACTTTGATTTACAGCACAAGAAAATTTCTGATGTAATTGTTTCTATAGCACAGGTGTATATATATATATCTATGGGTTCTTCCTTAAACTTTTACATTCGATTCTTTCGATGACAATCAGATAAGATTAGAGCCTCAAAAGAGTTTGTTTAAATAACCAAAGAATCTGAAATCAAACCTACAAAGCCACGAGAACAAGTTTGATCACCAGCCTCATCTCTTCTTAAAGAACCTCGTCAAAATAGCCTCTCTAATTCCAGAAACTGGTTCTGGGTCTGGTTCCGGTACTGGAGCTGGTGTCGGTGTCTGCAATGCCAGAGCTATTTCTTCTTCTATTCTTTGTTGTTTCTCAAAGTACCCCATCATTCTCCTAGGCTTCAGTAGTCCTTCAATTTTCTCAACTGCAACATTATAAGCAAAAACACGCAAATTCTATCAGTTCTACTAATTCTAGAAAGCTCAACATCTCACCTAACATATACATGTCAAAACACTCCTTACCATGTGAATCCAAGTCAGGTTTTGAAGATTCCGACAAGAGAACAAGTGTAGGGGTGACAATTGCGAGGAGAGCCCAGAAGAAGAAAATCACTAGAAAAATTCTCCCACTCATTTGTAGGGGAAAAGTGGTATAGCTTAATTCTGTTTTGAGAGGTTTATTGTAGATATAGAGAGAGAGCTGCCATGCCTTTAATTAGCTGGCCATGTCTGCGAAACGTTGTCATTATAAATTTCGGAAAAATACTAGTCCAATTTTTTATATTTTTGTCTTCCCATATTTAAGTCAAGTAGTATCAAAAAACATATTTGAGACGTTTGTTATTCAGTTGTTGGAGAGTTGTTATACAGGTTGGTGCATGATTAGACGTATCCATCTGGCATCATTGCCATGGCCCTAGTCAATACAATACACATACAAAGCCTGCTTTCGTGGTGGTGATTTTGTAGTTCGCCCCCGCTCATTCTAGCCTAGCCAAGGAGCAGCCAGGTGATATCTGAGAATTATGCCTTGAAACATTCAATTATCAAAAGTCAAGACTGACTTCTTTCTTCACGTTGGCTGTGGCTCTTTGTTGATTCATGGGTCTAATATGATGGGCTATACTAGCCCAGTTTCCCCCTTGTGATTCAATGATGGTCACGCTCTTTTTTGGGGCAGTAAGAGGTCAGAATTGGCTATCCGCAGAGGAAACTCCAAGCAACTTCAGGTTACTGTCTTTATTTGATTAAAGTAATTAATTTGGGAAATCATAGCATTTCCCTACCACCAATAGGATGGATCCGTCTATCAAGATGAACTACAAGAGACAAATTGGTGGACCAACTTGGTTTCGCTTTGGGTTGACACGGATTTGAGTCCAAAAACGCCTTAACCTAATTCTATCCCTTTCCATGCTTTGAGTTAGGTTCATACGTATCATATCTAGCTTTCAATGGGATGGATGAAATGTAATTGAACCATTTTAAATTATTTCGAACAACTTCTGATTATACTATTCTACTGCTCTTTAAGCATCTTAAATTAATTCAAGTAGAGGTGAAACAAAAAATGTCCAAAATTCCAAATACAATCCATTCGCGCAAGTCAGTGCACCACACAGCACAAACAGTCTATTTAAATGATACTTCTGCAGACCTCAAATTAATAATAATAATAATAATAAAGGTTTCCGAATTTCATTTTCCAACACACAACATACAAGGAAACGAACTGGTCAGCAGATGTGACAGGAACAAGCAGGGAAGGAGGTACGAAGCTGTAATCTGAAAATTTTTACAATTTGAGTTGGGGTTGAAAACAAATTCCATTCATACATATAAACTGTAGTCATGAATCATGAGACGACTATACGTATCTGAACGATATACTTAAAATTCAACCAGGCCTCGCTATTGGTCGAAAATCATACAAGTAGGATTGCTCTATCAACGTACAGCTCAAACATCAACTCACACAAACCGACAGCTCAGATCTTCAAAGTTCAAATACTAAACAAAATATGGAGGCCCATCATTGGCACGATTTAATTCATTAAAAAAATAGAGTACTAGTAGAAGAATTCTAAAGTATGAAGGAACATCTCCAGCTAACGCAGAAAATGTGTGAATCCAAAGTCATGCTAGTGACTGCTACAACTAAAATATAAAACAAAAAGAAATTTTCAACACCTATGTTTTAGTTTTGCATATGTATTTGACATGAAGAGGAAAACCTTGTAAAAACTAAAAGCACGACATCTGCAAGGCTGCAGGATGCGTTGGTAGCTTAGTCCCTCATCAGGCCACTACTGCTTGCACCAGAACTCTTCCTATCGTACCTCTGAAAACAACAGGAAAAGGGGTTACTGCATTTCAACTGGAAAAAGATACGGAACCATTCGAAATTCCAACCAGCAATCAATTACCACCGCAGAAAGAGCATATAGAAGATGATAGCAAAAGAAACAGAGGAGGGATGGTTACTAGAGAACTATCCAAAGCTCTTACCTGCTTTCCTATGCTGAATGGAACATATTTGTACTTGATCATGTGCATAATTTGGCGCTTCATTGTGAGGACAAACAGAACAATCCAATAACAGAGTAAAATGGGCCAGAAAACAGGGACATCAAATATAGAAAAGAAGGTCATTAGGAAGGCCACACAAAACGCCTTGGTGATGGCATACCTGCAATCATAACCAAAATAACAACTCATTTTTGGGTCTAGAATTCATAGGAAATAACTATATGATCAGAATGCAAATTGTGAAATGGATTCTGTTCATTCAGTAACATCTTAGAAATGGGCATTGTCAGAAATAATGATGCTGGTCAGACAAATGCATCTTCTTCATGACTCACAAGATTTAGGACCACGATCTACTAAAGCCTGCCAACAACATTATCTTCTTGTTGTGTAAATTAACTATGGTGTCTGTTGTTAAAGCTCTTTGTAACCTCTCCTCATCACCTTGCACATTCAGCCGGCCATGCCAATAGGATTTTTTAAAAATGCATTTTAAGCCTCTTAGCAATAGTCTCTAGTTCATCACTCAGTATGATGTTGGAAGCCTAAAAGCATAACTTGTTGCAGGGCCGTTTTATCTTAAAAAATTTCCCTTCTAACACTGGGTTTTATAGTATGAATACCTGAAGCATAAAAATAAACTGAAGCCAAAGCATAATTTAAGACAACAACGTCTAGCAAACAAAGATGGTAGAAGTTGTGTTAGTTAACTATGGTGTCTGTTGTTAAAGCTCTTTACGATCTCTCCTCATCACCTTGCACATTCAACCGGCCATGCCAATAGGATTTTTTAAAAACCCTTTTTAAGCCTCTTAGCAATAGTCTCTAGTTCCTCCCTCAGTATGACGTTGGAAGCCTAAAAGCATAACTTGTTGCAGGGCCCTTTTTTCTTAAAAAATTTCCCTTCTAACACTGGATTTTACAGTATGAATACCTGAAGCATAAAAATAAACTGAAGCCAAGGCATAATTTAAGACAACAACTTCTAGCAAACAAAGATGGTAGAAGTTGTGTGAGTTAACTATGGTGTCTGTTGTTAAAGCTCTTTATGATCTCTCCTCATCACCTTGCACATTCAGCCGGCCATGCCAATAGGATTTTTTAAAAACCCTTTTTAAGCCTCTTAGCAATAGTCTCTAGTTCCTCACTCAGTATAATGTTGGAAGCCTAAAAGCATAACTTGTAGCGGGACACTTTTTCTTAAAAAATTTCCCTTCTAACACTGGATTTGACAGTATAAATACCTGAAGCATAAAAACAAACTGAAGCCAAAGCATAATTTAAGCCAACAACTTCTAGCAAACAAAGATGGTAACATAAAAACCTTAGCCTCAAACAAATTTTGGCAATGTGTGAAATAGCAAGTTCAAAAGTTGGCTCAGCCTTGTTTTTGTTGTCAACAAACTGGTTTAAGCCAAAATGTTAATGCACTGTCCACATCCACACCATGTGTTAATACCCTTTTGAATTTATTATCTTATATAGTATACATATTCCAAGTGTAGAAATCATGCAGCATTAGTGACCCAAAAGCCATGAAACATGAAGAATAGACCACTGTAATTATAACTGACATGTATAAGTTCAACAAAAGCAATGTGCTAAATCTCAAGGGAGTGCTGGGTATTCTTCTGTCAAATTTCCTACCAAATGAACAAGTGAAAACAGCACCTCATACTTTTAGATTTAGCATTTTTAGTCAAAACAGTACCAGTGATATCCTATGATTCAAGAATCAGAACAGACAAAGCAATCCACATCATCAAAATCCATGCTAATCAGGGAAAAAACATCAACACTTGCTTGTTAAAATAACTAAAGCCTATGGACAAACAGATAAATATCAATGAAAACTAATACAAGCATGAAGACAAAAAATGTGGGCATTACAAAGAACATGCTGGAATATCATTTGCATCTCCTCCTTGGGCATCACACCAAAGCACAAGCTAGCATACCAAACCCAAAAAGAAAAAGAAAAAAAGTATAAAACCATCTATCGAGTTACAAAGAAATTCTTGATTACCAGAACTTAAACTCAGGAAGGCGGCGAATAAAGGGCTTGAACTCATCAGATCCTTTAGTTGGCAACGAAGCACCATCCAAAACTTCAAGTTCAGGATCGACCTTGGGCGACAGAAACCCAATCAACAAATTCAAGATATAAATTCCAAGACCATACGACACAATGTAAAACCCTTGAATGTAGTAAACACGCAACACATAAATTGCAACGGCCGCAAGAGTTCCCAGCCACCTCTGCATCGGGTGAGGTGTGGATCGGTCCAGGTAGTACTGGAATGTCCGAGCGAAATCATTTCTCCACTTCGCAAAAGGTGTCACCACATTGACAGCATCACCACCATTTTCTTCCATCTTTTATTATTCTAATTTCTCCTGGAGATCCAAAAATTAATAACCTTTGACAAAATTGGTATCAATCAGGGCTCAAGCTCATGTATAATCTTGCGTTCTATCATTTTAGTTATTTTCTCCTACCTCTGTTTTCAAAGCAACCAAAACAACACAACTTTAATAACAAAAGAAAAGCAAGAATCGTTAAATTTCTAGTTTAGTTTTTTTAATTACGTTCGTCAATCATAATTTACAAAAAAAAAAAAAAAAAAAAAACTCATATATACAGCATCGAATAAATCAAATTGTAGGCGAAATAATTAATTAATCGAGGCTCAATGAATAATATAGTACTAAGCTCAACATTTACTTTTGCTTGCTTTCTAGGCAACCAAACAGGAATCGTTAAAATTTATTTCAACTTTTGTTTAAATCGAGTACGTGAATTATTATAAATATAATAATAGTGTACAGAAAAAGGAATCATAAAAGCTAACCTCTTGAGAGTTAGGGTTTTGAAACGCGGCAAGGATCCGATTATAGATGATTACCTACGGGGGTTGAAGCGATCGCTGATTCTGTCAACTCTCGTTCCCTGGATTTTTTTCTTCCTTTTTTTTTTTTTTTTTGGCAGGAAGTTTGTAGCTTGAAATGTATTTAGCACCTGACCGACGGACTAGTCTCCTGCGGGTTGCTGGCGCGCTCTGAATTGATTCACCAAAACGTGCCCTTTTTATGTCGTTTTGGCAGCCTTTTCGATAGAACTGTTTATAGACCGGATTAGGCGCGCTCTTAGTTAATTCATTTCCTTTAAGCAATCGGGCCTTGCTCGACAATCCTATGGTGTTAAGGCCCAATAAATGAAATTCAATAAGCAGCTCTACAGCAAAATTGACGATTTTTTTCAAAAAAATTTTCTTAATTTTTTTAATGGCAAATTGACGATCTACTAATCTCAAATCATTTTCAAATAGTTGATACTACCAAATATGTCTACTTTAACATCGGACAGTGTCAAAACTCACAGGGTTCTTTGGTCCATTAAAGGAAGGAGTCCCACTTTGGGAGATTTGGCAATCACTTGTTTTCACGCAATCTCTACAGGATTAGATGGCCGCATGCTACATCATTTCTCGCAACAAGCCAAGATCATTCATCAGAGATAGAGATCCATGAAAATTAATAATTTATTTTCCTGAAACAAGTTTTATATTAAATTACAGAAATTAGTCACATATTTTGTACCTGCAAACCTTCTATTTAAATAATCTGTAAAAAATATTTCTAGAATAAAAGTTAATTATTTTACAAATTTTATGAATAACTCTAGTAATTTGTTATGAAAATTTTTACAGAAACAATATGTTAAAATTTTTATGTATATTCAATTATAAAATTAATTTAATTAAACATATAAAAAATTGAAAAATCATCCTATTATATAAATTGAGATACATTAAACTATTAAATCATAAATCTGACCCATTGATGAAATTTGTTAAAATTTATACTACTTGTTTGTTTATATTTGATCCAAGTGATGATAAAAGAAGAACCAATACCCGAAAGATTGCATGTTACCCAATTAATTGCACGGACACTTAACGATGGAGCTTGTTATGGTAATTAACAGCCGAAATACTACATTTACTGTTTCATTAGTAGAAAAAACGCTTCGTTTTAGACTTTGCAAAACACGCTTCAATCAATCGTTATTTGGACGGACTACTCAAGAGAATTTTCAAGAGTAATTAATTAACCCAATTCAATTAAAATGAATCAACCAGAAAAGAATAATAATAATAATAATAATAATAAGGAATAAAGGTCATAGAATTTATTGAGCAACTAAAAACATGGAGTGAGGGACCGTTTCGTAATTTGATGGAGGTTGAAACCCAATTTTGCCCTCCAAAGTCTGTGGGATATTCCGCCTTACCCTCACGGTATCATTTCTCCAAAAAACCAGAGACCACACTGAGCTAAATTTCTCTTTACTCTCGCAGTGAAACCAACAAACAACGACCACTTGATCAAAGGAGTGGGAGATGGGGACCCTAGGCAGAGCCATATACACCGTCGGATTCTGGATTCGCGAGACCGGTCAAGCTCTTGATCGTCTCGGAGGCCGCCTCCAAGGCAACTACTACTTCCATGAACAACGTAAGCGAGCTTATCATTTCTCTAAACCCTAGATCCTAATTAAAATTTTTATAGCTTCATTTTATTTAATTAGATCATAATATTAATTATCTCGTCTTGCATTTTTAATCCGAATGTTATTGCGTGTTTTTTGTTTGTGAATTAGCGTAGGTAAATAGGTAATTATATAATTGGTGGAGTTAGTTTGCTGATTAGGTGTGTTTGGAGAAATGATTTTTTTGTTGGATTAATCATTAAGAATGTGAACATTTCAGAGAATTGATGGTGAAATTTTTTATAATAATATCTGTTCTTAATCCTTTGAGCATGATTTTATCTACGGGCGGGCTTATAATTGACGAGGATTGTTTAGCTTTCTTGTAACAGAGCCATAGAATTTGAGATTGTGATTGTTAAAGACGTCAGTCTTATGAGATAATATGTGGAATCAGTTTTACCAGATAAAAGCTTTTTTTTTCCGTCAAATTAGAAATTTCTAATTTGTTTAGTATAATAACTGAATTAAGTCTCAGTATTGTATCAAGCATGGTTTACGGTGTTCATCCTCTTAGTTTAGGGCCAAATGATGTTGTTAGTTTAGCAATTGCTATGGTTTTCCGTACTCCTCTTCGTTGCTCTTATTGCTTGGATGAAACCACTCACCGGTGCTTATAATTTTAAGTTGCATGTGTTCAAACTATCATGGAAACTTTATGGTACGCGAAGGAAATTATGATCAGGAACTTACTATGAATTGTATTGTTTTGTGAAATTCCATAAAGGACAGTGGGGGTTACTCAAGTTTGGAAGATAGCTCTTTGATGCACACAGTCCACTCTCATGAATCCCATCTTGTTGGAGAAATGACAAGAATTTACCATACATTCAAGATTTGTTAAAGCATTTTAGTTTTCTTTCTCAGTATCATCTGCCATCAAGTCTATTTGTGCCCATCAACTACATGTTCAATAGTTCATCTCTTGCTTCTTTTCATCTGCCTTCAAATCTCGTCATATGCTCTGTTTTTGTGTGTCAACTAAAGATGTGTTTGGGCATGATAATAATGCTTTTCACTGGCCTGTCTAATTTAGCTTTTCTTGTTGTTCTTTTATTGCTTTCAATTATGCCTTATATTATAAACGTTATAGAATATAATTTGGGTTACTCTGGTCTAGCTTTTATTCATCCATACATTAATTATGTCTTGTGTTTTAGTGTCCAGGCATCGAACTCTAATGAACATATTTGACAAGGTTCCTGTGGTCGATAAGGATGCATTTGTGGCTCCTAGTGCCTCTGTCATTGGTGATGTCCTAGTTGGAAGAGGATCATCTATATGGTATGGATCTGTTTTGAGAGGTAAGATTTTATACAGTTTGCTGCAGTATATCTGATGCATATAATCTAGAGTTTCCCCTTGAATATGCTCAGGTGTATGTAATTTTAGGCCTAAGAATTAAAATCTTTGGAGATTTTCCTTGTTTTTGGATTTTGCAAATAATCATGAACTGTTCTTTTTTGTGGATAGGTGATGTGAACAGCATCAGTGTTGGATCTGGAACTAATATACAAGACAACTCCCTTGTGCATGTAGCAAAATCTAACCTAAGTGGAAAGGTGCTACCAACTATCATAGGGGACAATGTTACTGTAGGTGAGCATTATGGTGAACGTCATATGTTTGATTTTGACCAATTAGGTGGTCATATGTGCGATGCTTTCAAAGTTTGTTTTATGAATTAAAATTTGAACTGGGCAGGTCACAGTGCTGTTTTACATGGATGTATTGTTGAGAATGAGGCTTTTGTTGGTATGGGAGCAACACTTCTTGATGGTGTTGTTGTTGAGAAACATGCCATGGTTGCTGCTGGAGCCCTTGTGAGACAGAACACAAGGATCCCTACTGGAGAGGTATGTTGGCAAACTCTCTCTCCCTAAGAATATGAAGGTCTTTTTTTTTCTGGTTTTTTTAATCGGTAGTTGTTCATCTCCAATAAAATGCATCAAGGATATTGCCATCTATGTAAAGATTGCGTAGGTCTTATTATACCCTTGAAACTTAACAACTGGAGATGTAAATGAGCAAACAATATTAAACGCAAAAGTATTGAACATTATGGTACAGTTTGATGTTAAACAGGTAAGTGTGAAGAAATGCCTTTGCTCATACGGCTTATGTGAATCCTTATAATATATGCTAAAAGCATGCAGAAACACCAGTTTCAGTTGGTTTTAATGTATGCAGGTATGGGGAGGCAATCCTGCAAAGTTTTTGAGGAAGCTCACTGACGAAGAGATAGCCTTTATTGCTCAGTCAGCTACCAATTACTCAAACCTTGCACAGGTTCATGCAGCTGAGAATGCAAAGCCTTTTGATGAGATTGAGTTTGAGAAGGTTCTTCGCAAGAAGTTTGCGAAGAAGGATGAGGAGTATGACTCTATGCTGGGTGTTGTACGTGAACTTCCCCCTGAACTTATTCTTCCAAAAAATGTCCTACCAGATAAAGAACCTAAGGCAAAATGAGCATTTTCTTGAGGTATTGTTTGTTAGAAATCAAATCTTGAGGTTTGTCTTTCAAGGATTATTTGTTGTTATCGCAAATACATGAAGAAGGGGATCACTTTCTTTCCCAATAATACAAGACATGTTTAGGGGTAGAATTTTGGCTCCATTTTAGCTTCTAGCTCTGCTTTTCCTGTGGTTGTTGAGGCTCTCTCTTTTCTTCCATGAGAGAAACTAACGCCATAAAGCAGCATGTACCATGATGTTTTCCTGTTCCTTGTACCTAAGATATTCGATTTCGTTATGATTTTGTTGATCCGTACTTGTTACATCAAATCATTTTGGGGGTTGAAATAACTATTGAGTTCATGTTGGCAATACTCTTTTGTGTCTGCATGTCATATTCTGGAGGCTTTTTCTTAGAATTTGTAACCAAAGTGGAAATATAGAAACTACGTGCAATGGTCCAGATATTCTCCTGATTAGAATGTTACAGTGTTTGAATCAACAATAAAATCTCGAAGCTATATGATTCATGTGATGGTGAGAGAGAGAGAGAGAGAGAGAGGCAATGCTGCTGTTGTGAATGATTGGGGCTTCTGGGAGTGTAAAAGAAAACCTATCAATCTTCAATTGGTTGGTTTATGGTTGCTCGGCCTTTTCTATTGGCATGGTAGCAAGCCTGAGTCGAAAATGGCATTTAGCTGGAGAGTCGGATGCCGTTTACACCAACTTTGCCACTTATTTCTTAACTAAAAGAGTTCCGACGTTATTTTCTTCCTTATTTATTCGTTTTCGTCATCAATGACACAATAAACTTTATTTATTAGCATCTTTGGACTGCGATTGTGATACTTTGCTATATGGAGTAATGCGTTCTCCATTGATGTGAAGCGTGGGGAATCGACCACCGTGACCAATGAAATGTGGCGATTTCTTTGATTTCGAAACGCCAAACAAGTAGGGTGAGGTGCCGTTTGTATGGATTTATATGTCACGGGCGGCCTAGATTTAGAGATAACACGAATTCAGGACCTTTTTGGGCTGGGCTGGGGTGTATCATTGGATCGAGTGACTTTATTATCATTTGCCGTCATTGGCAGTCTTCATATTGAGAGCTTGTGGACTTGTGTGGGGAAGTGGCCCAATTGGGTGAGGGGAAGAATCCTGGCTTCAATTGAAGAATTTTGTTGTTTGTTATCTCGTGATAAACAGTTTTCACTTTTCACTGTTTCTCGTCAAGTCCTTTCCACTGTTTATCGTCAACTGTCTGGTGCTTTACATTGTTTCCGTACTTGCATTTCGCATTTGGCTTTTCGTTTTTTTTTCGTTTTTAATATTTCATCAGTTGATTACCAACTTGTGAAAATTATGCATTATAGCTATTCCAACCTATAGGAAGCTAACCCACGTGCCCAAACCCCAATCCCGACCCTAGGCAAGTTTAGAGATGCAAATAGCTCGATATTAGTTGTTATAATAATCATCGAAGCGATTATTCCACGCTAATCGGAATCAGAAAAGGCCAAAGGTGCAATTCTCCGTGATTTAAGCTGCCTTCTAGTTGAGAAAGACAAAAGAGGTCGTCCATCTAATCAAATACTAATCCAAATCTCTCCAATATGATTTGTTCCTGATCCATTTGTTGGGTTTTCTCTGTACTCTTTCCTTTATATACCCCTTCTCCCTTTATTTCATCTTTAGTGCTCTTTTTTCTTTGATTTGTATCTGCCCCTTTAAAGGATGCACAGTGACATACATTGAAGTCTTCTGAGGTCCACTGATTCATGCCAACAAATAAGATGCTTTACTAAACTTAACCAAGCAATTCTGATGCTCAGGAATATTTAGACCGACATCTCCTTTATTTCTATCTATTTACATGTTGGGCATTCATTGCAAATCATGGAGTGCATGTTACTTTTCTTTTCCTATCATAAACAACATCGTAGTGGTTGCAGCTTTCCAATTGCGCAAGTGGGTGATTGATTGTCTAAAGTTTAAACTTTCATCAATCACCACTATAGACCTTAGCCGTAGGGTGAGGCGTACAGGGAACAAGAGACACTCTAGAATTTCTATATCTTTATATATATAATGTGGATGGACATCAATTAACGCCAGATATGAATAAAATAGCAAATTATTTGGTCAAGGAATACGTATGGTATCTATCTTTACGAGGAAGAAAAAAGAAAAAAAAGCGTAAACAAAAAAACAGAGTCCTGCGCCGAAATAAATTCTCAGAAATTCAGATGGGAGAAGACTTAAAGCAGTTTGCTTTTATTTTTCTAGCTTTGTTTTTATGGCTGGCGTCTTTGGTCCTTTGCTTTTGGATTCCCTGGCAATTTTAGAGTGACTGATCCAACAGTATTTTGGTCACGCTGACTAGTCACTGACTCGTGCTCTTGTCAGATTCTTTTTGGCCGATATGCATTGATTATTTCCCACTACTTTATGCCACAATTATTCTAGATTTCGTCTCATCTGTTCTACGACTTGATTATTTCCCACTCTTTTCCAAGCTCGATGAAGTTATGAACACAATCATGCTTCATGCTGTTATTGGACGAAACAAATGAGCATTTCTATTCTTTCACTACTTTCCCCCTATATGCTTGACAAATGCATTTATTTATTCACTTGTTTATTTTCATAGATAAAGACCCACGATCAGTACAGAGAGCGTTAAAACCTTAATAGTTAACAGTTAATTATGAAACTGATTTTTTTTATATTTATAAATAATAAAATATTTTAAAATAGATTTTGTATAAATCGACATTAAATCAATTATTTCTTAAATTAAACTAATGAAAAACTATGCTTAATTTTTAGTCTATTGTTGAACAGTTTTTTAGTTCAAACTAGTCCAAATCCAGTACTATTCGAAAACATTTATAGTTAGTTATTCATCATGCAGGAATATTTATTTGAAGTGAATTATCCAATATTGATTACAATCCCAAACTCTTTTCTTGTGAGAGAGGAACTGTATCTGGATTCATGGAGCTAAATGAACAAAAGAGAAGTATCACAATCAGCGGCCAGAATATCTCTCTCTCATACTGAGATGCACTGATTTTTACCAAACACATGCTTAAATTTAGGCATGAAATAAGTGTAGTTGTGTGACTCAATTTTAGACCTAACTAATTCCAGGAGCCTTAAATAGTGAATCCTTTATTCTTTTTTTACACAGAAAAAAAGAATAATATAGTATGCTCGTTAGAGTACAAGCCCACAGGGGCCACGATTTCAAGTTATTTGCAAAATATCATTACTCGGTAATCGGCATTTCCGGATCCAAAACCTACCCCACTCCCACCCACCCACCGCATCCTTTCTACCTTTCCGAAGAACAATCCAGATTACCACCACACCGTTCTGCTTAATCATTATGAATTAGTTATTATAGCAATAAATCAAAATGCTAAAACGATTTAAGCATGGTTTAATGGCATGCCGCATGCCCCTTCGTTCAAACGTTAAAATTCCAAGATATCATTTTACTGTTTTAAATGTCTTAATTATATCTTTTTATTAAAATTTTCAATTATCGTGTCTTTTTATTCTTAATTATGTCTACATTTAATCTTTTCGAATATTTTTTTATATAACGAAAACAAAAAATATCAAAAATTACCTTCATTATTTGAAAAAACAATGAAAGAGATCAAATATAGACATAATTAAAAATAGAGGATACGATAATTAAAATTTTATATAGAAAACAATTAAAATATTTTAAACAATAGAAGGACATATTGGACCTTTTAACTCCTTCGTTAAACCAGCATTTAAACCTCATGCCAAAACTTCATTAATGGTGTGATTTGGTTCCAGTATTTTTTGTATTTTCTCATTATGCCCCTTATTTTCATTTGGATTGAGTTGGTTTTTCTACTAAACGAATTTTTTTTAATTTGATTATTCCATTCAATTTACCATTAATTCTGTTAAAAAGTCAGGAAAATGGACAGTTGTCTATATGTCATGCCACGTGTGAAAATTAACAGTAATGCGGATGGAAATTGGATGGATGAAGCAAGTTAAGGCATCTTTCTGAACACACGGACCAAATAAATAGAAAAAGAGAAGTGGGTCTGCGTTAAGATTACATGAACAGATGTAAGGTGATCCTTAAAAAAGAGAGCATAATAATATTCTTTAAATCAGGGGCAGTTTGGGAAAAAAGCAAATAAACCTTCAAGTGTAAGTCGACTCCTGAAGCAAATACAGCTCTACGCGTGTATAAATAGAGAGCTAGGAGGGAAAGGGAAGAGGGCAAAGGCCGGCCCAAGGGGTGTTTGCTGTTCATCAGAAGACATTGCCAAGATGGGAGCTGAAGCCTTACCCAGGAGTGGAGAGATTGCTACTGATGCTGTTGTTGTCGCTTCTCACCCTCTCATACTTGGTCTACAGCCAGCAGCTCTTGTCGACCACGTGGCACCTGTTGATTGGTCTTTGCTTGGCAAAATCCCTGGTGACCGTGGTGGCTCAATGCCTGTACTCTCTCTCTTTCTTCAATCTACTAACGTTTTTACTTGATTTTGGCTTCTTTTTTCTTTCTCGGGTATGTCTGAATTTTGGCTTGTTTTGCTCCTTCCAGTTATAATTCAATACTTTTTATAAAAAGATCGCATCTTTTCTAGCTTTGTGTTATGATTCTGTCTTTTTTCCATTTTAGTCTATGTTATTACTAGACACATTTAGTGGGTTTAGATCAATTTTCTCAATCAGTGGCTTTTGTCAGTAGTTTCGTTGGTACTTGAAGTAAGACCTCTTTTTTAGTACTTTAACCAACCCGAATTAGTCTTGTATTGTTTGAATGCTTCCATTTTGGTCATTCTAAATTTTAGGAATATTGGTGAAAAAAAGATAGTGATATTGTTGTTAGTTGTGAGATTAAAGGGGATTTAGCATTTGTGTCTTGGGTTGTGTAGGTTGCAATTGAAGAGCTTGAGCATTTATTAAAAGAGGTGAAGGAAACTAAGCTTGCTTCCCTGGATGAATTACCTCCTATGAAGACGATGGCTGGAGGCAGCGTAGCAAATACTATTAGAGGACTCAGTGCAGGCTTTGGAGTCTCTTGTGGGATTATCGGTGCATGTGGGGATGATGAGCAAGGCAAGTTATTTGTGAGCAATATGAGCTTTAATGGAGTTAGCCTTTCGAGATTGAGGATGAAGCAGGGGCACACAGCTCAGGTGATCTTGTCTTTTTTTTAAAATAGAATAGTTATTATTATTATTTTAATTGTTTACTGGCGTGATTCAATTCCTGGAAGCTTAAATCTAATTTTTGTTTGCATCCAATTTGTTTGCAGTGCATTTGCATGGTTGATGGATTAGGCAATCGTACCATGCGACCCTGTCTTTCAAGTGCTGTCAAAATTCAGGTGCATTATTCTTTGCATGTTTTGTGATTCTTTTTTATGTAAGTTTTCGGTTGCCAATTTGGAAGGTTGAACTAGCCTTCCTGTCTGGATGGTGTTTTTTCCAACCATTTGTATATTTTTTCTCCTTTTCAGGCTGGTGAATTGACCAAGGAGGATTTTAAAGGCTCCAAGGTTAGGAATCTTTACTAGTATTAGGTTTTTGATCAATTCTACCCATCACCTTTGTTTTCTTGTTTTTGTTTTTCCTTCTTATCATTATAGGTTCTATATAGAACTTGGACTAAAACCAAACTCCAAATATAAAATATCTAAACTAGAAATTGTTTGAAGACAATGTTTTAGCATAAAATTGCTGTCTCTTATCTAAGATGAATTCATGCTGCACAGTTGCTCTGTTATTTCATATGGTTGCTTTTGAAAGATATTGTAACGTAATTTATTGGGGACTGCTGGCTAATATGTCTTTATTACAGTGGTTGGTGTTGAGATATGCAATATCCAATTTGGAAGTTATTCAAGCTGCTATTCAGATTGCAAAGCAAGAGGGTCTTCTTGTCTCATTGGATTTGGCCAGTTTTGAGGTATAATGTCTAATCAATTTGTGCACAAACTTTTAGCTCCCATCAAGCGAATGCTTCATTTTGATATGAAAATAATTTTGGTATCCAAATTACAAATGGCCATCCTTGGGAGAAATAAGTGGTCATAAACAATGTGTATCAAAATAGCTTTTATTTCCTTGCAACAAATGTGTTTTGTAGTTAAACTGAATTTCAGTCCGTGATTATGTAATTCATTTGTGAGCTTGAAGTATGCCATATCCATTTGGCATCTATCTGTCTTCATACTATGCATTCTTCTGATTGCATTTCTTAAAGCCAAATACTTTATGGTGTGGGCCTATTAACTTGTGTGCTTCTGGCCAGATGGTTCGAAACTTTAGATCAGCTCTTCTACAATTACTGGAGTCTGGGGACATAGACCTCTGCTTTGCTAATGAGGATGAAGCAACGGAGTTGTTGAGGTAGCCATCATTTGGTTATGTTCTTCACTTGATATGCTGAGTTTACTTTGTTGTAGAGTTGCATTTTGGAATCTGTCCTAAACCTTTCTTGGCAGTGGTTATTGATACTCTTAAAATGGCTGTAGGGGTGAACAAAATTTTGTCCCTGAGGCTGCTGCGGAATTCTTGGCCAAACATTGCAAGTGGGCTGTTGTGACTTTAGGTGCTAATGGTTGTATTGCAAGGCATGGAAAAGAGGTTAGTATCTCCTTTGTTGACATAAGGCCTTTTCAGCTCACCGAAAGGTTAGCTCTGGGAAGAAGTTTTCCCAATTGCTTAAAAATTTGCAGCTGTGGTCTGGTGCCTTCTCTTAAATCGTTAGGCTCTGCCTTTGTGGACCTTAAATATTAGTGGTACATTGCCTCTTCTGCACATCCTCAAATACATGTCAACATTGGTACAACAGAGGTCAATCTAGTATTGATCCTGTATCAAGGGGAACATTAGCTAAAAACAGCATCCATCTCTGCCCTTTCTACACCATACTGTGTTATTTTAGCTGCTGCTTTTAAGTCCTTTACTCTTGGCATTGTATTAAAATTTCTCAATATGTCAGATTGTCCGAGTTCCAGCTATCGGGGAAGCAAAGGCTACTGATGCCACTGGAGCAGGAGACCTCTTTGCAGGCGGGTTTTTATACGGCCTGGTCAAAGGACTGTCTCTGGAGGAATGCTGCAAAGCTGGTGCCTGTAGTGGTGGTTCTGTCATCCGTTCGCTTGGAGGTGAGGTGACCCCAGAGAATTGGCAGTGGATGTATAAGCAGATGCAGATCAAGGACCTCCCTCTTCCTGATCTTCTCCATTGATGCCACCCCTATTATAGGATTGATTCTTTTTTATATTTTTTTTCCTTTTTCCCCTTATTAAGTACTGTAATTTTTTACCCTCTAAAAGGACAGGCAGCTGTAGTTGCTCTTTGGGCTAATTTTATGAACCCAAGACAAACCATTTCTCCACGGACAACACACAGCATAAGCATTGTTGTCTGTAAATTCAATAGAAAATTCGTCCAGAGAAACCTGACCCTAACTGAGCTTCTTATCCTCTTATTACATGTATCTATATATATTTCTTATTAATCCTTGTATTTTTAGCGAAATAATCAGTTAGTCCTTCCATTAAATATCCCTCAATAAGGTACTGGAGGTAATCTGACTTTCTATCTTCTTAAAAACTAACGGAGCTTCTAATGAATTAAGAGGAACTAATTATTTATTCTATTTTCATTAGTTTACGTCAAAAATCTAACTGCAAGGAAAAGGCGATGGGATCTAAACCATCATTCCATCACCGGGTATTTTTCAGTCATCGACAAAGCTCAGCTTGCCTATGCAAATGTGCAAGCTCGGCTGCAGTCTGCAGCGCTACTAAGATGAGCTAATGATTTGTAGCGGCACAGGCTTTCTCCATGTTGAAGCCTTGAATGTGGAAGGACATTTAATTATAAAATGACAAAAAGGTCCTGAAGCCTGAAGGATCAATATCTGTTTTTAGGGTAAATTACAATAATCCATAGAAGTTACTATAAAATTACAGAGACCAAAGGGTTTAAGCATTTGAAAAAAATCTCCTCCGAGTACATTACGAAAACGTCCCTTTGAGTTCTATTATATTTAAAATGCATTTAATAATAGTTAAATTAATAACTTGAAAAAAATTAGATATAACATGACTTTTTTTAGTACATAAACAATATTAGTTTCACTATTTAATTTCCTTCAATTTTGTTTTAAGTTTCTTTTTTAAAAAAAATTAATAGTAATTAAGGATATTTTAGGTATAGTAGAGCTCAATACCTATAATTTCACAATACCTCAGAAAAATGATTGTACTTTACCCCTCTTTTTATCGAGTAAATATGAATTTTACTCAATGTCGTGAAGCAAGATGAGAATTGGAAAGGATAAAAAGAAGAAGAAGAAGAAGAAGAAGAAGCGCAGATGCCTGTGACAGAATATAAACGGCCCTCTTTCGTTAACAAACAGCTTTGAGACGCTTTCGAGGATAAAACTGGTTTTTAGGTTACAAAAGGAACTAAGCCCAAAAGTTATCCACATAAACCGGGCCCAAAAAGCCCATAATAATCCCACCTTGCCAGTATTACTCGTGACCATCCCAAGCCCTCTTGTATCAACTTCAAGAGGCTCCCGCGCCATCGAAGGTATGTCCTATTCAACGCTAGACAAATTCCATAACGTGACGAAAGAATAAAAAAAAGAAAAAAAGACTTGAGTTTGAGATCATAAATCATGGATAAGCTCGCCAAAGGCTAGCATAAAATATGTTTGCACAAGTGAAGCAAAGTTAAGTAGCATCGAAAAAGAGAATCCAACAAAAGGATGTCTTCTGGGCGACTTTCATTCTTTGAATAAATTCAGAAAACATCATCTAAAGATTAGGACAGAGAACCAGTTTCTTTCTTGCAATCACTACATGTCCATCGGAGCCACACCCTGATCAGCAGCACCATCCTGATCACCACCAGCACCCTGATCAGCAGCAGCACCCTCCTCAGCAGCAGCATCTGGTTCAGCGGAAGCAGCAGCTGTCTCTCCCACAATCTCAAATGCATCAATCAACTTTTGGACAGTTTCCTGATCCAGTATATGGAATGCCTCATCAACTCCTACCACAGCAACTGTGCAGATAGAACTCTTCAGTGTTTCTCCTTGTAAGGTTTCCCTGACTGCAATGAGAGCGTCCTTAATCAGATCATCCCTCGAAGAATCCATAAAATTCTCAAATCTGCGTTCCAAGTATGTCTTTGCAGCTTGTGAGCGGGATCCTATCGCAAAAGCCTGGTATTCAAAGTAGTTCCCACTGGGGCAATTGTAATAGAGGTGAGCTCCAGATTCATCCGTGCCACCTACCAACAGCCCAACACCAAAAGGTCGTTTCCACGAACGTTGCGTACAGACCTGCCATTCAGATATGCATTACAACTACAGATGAGTAAATCACTAGTAGAAATATGGTATATTAGTTTCAGATCAGACACTGAGAAGAGAAAAGGGCAACTCAGATTTTTATTAGATTGCCAAGTGAAGCTATAATACTCTAGATTTGACCATGTAGCCTTCTGGAGACAAAAATGAGTTCAACACAAGGACAGCCAAAAGGTTGCCATTAAGGTTTGCCAGTCACAATTAAGTGAACAATCAAACAGTCATCAATTCCTTATATAAGTAAAATTCAGTTGCTGACCTCGAGTGGAAACTCAATCGAAATTCCAAGATTTGAAAATCAAAGGCATAAATTTGAGTTTTGTATTGACATGTTGACAATGCTGGAGAAGATGTCAAATAACTTGAACATATAGCTCATGAAACATCAATTTACCATAACAAAAGGAAAATTGACGACATCAAAGCTTAGGAATCCTTAAGTAGAAAAAAGTTGCAAACTCATACCTAAAGGGTATTTAGCGTTGAGCTTTACATCTGTTGATACTTCCAATAATAAAAATCATTAAGGTTTGACTTAAGAATAGCATCTATTTGACTTTCTCAAACTCTCATAACAAGATGCCAGGTTCAATTGCTGGTGGATTACACTTATATCCACTATTAAAAATGTTCCAACATTGAGGGATTTTAATTCTTAAAAAGCAAACGATCTTAAAATACTAGAGACTATCATGATCACGTGATGTGGTTACAGAAAATACCCAAAATTACAAATTAGTGAACATTAACAAAGAATCCATTTTAACATTTATCAAGGCAAAGATAAAAGGCTTAAGAAAACAATAACATGCGACCAAACTTGAACTCGTCTTGAAATCTGGCAATATATGTCGCTCTTAAATCCCATACCAGGAATTACTCAAAGATTGACATTCAATTTTTCATAAATAAGTTGACATTGTTTTAAAACCTACAGAACAGCGATCAGTGAGAACTAATTTTCAGAGAAAACAGCAATTGCCAACCAATTATTTAGCAACACTAAGGTACATTAAGCTTGCTATGGTGCTCAAGAAAGTAGCTGGCACAAAGATTGATAACCATTGCCCGTTCTTCTCTATCACAATCTCTACGAGCTTAAATGCACTGAAAATAAGCTACTTTGTTCAGTGATAAAAGACCCCGAATTTAAAATCCACAAAAACCCAACTTTTTCCAAAAATTAGGTTCTAAAATCAACAGTTATTCACACAAATTAAACACATAACCAAATCCCTAAACCCTAAACCCAACGATCTAACAAATCAAACAAAACCACACAAAAATTAGGGCTTTTGAAATTAAGTAAACAAACCTGAGCCTTATCAGCAAGCTGAACGACAAGGCGACCGACAGGAAGCGGAGACTCGTAATTGAAGCTGTAATTAATACATTCAGTTCGCATATACCGAGACAAAACACGGCCGTCGGCGGTGAGTCCAGCGATGGCGACACCGATGTGGTCATCGACTTTAAAAATCTTCTTCTGGTGAGACGAGAGTTCGGAGTTGGCTTTGTTAACGCAGGCCAGAACCACGTGACTCTTAGATCGGAGTCCAATAGCTGCCGAGCCTTGCTTCACTGCCTCCATCGCGTACTCTACCTGGAATAATCGACCGGCTGGACTCCATGTGGTAACGTCTGTATCATATTGATTCCTAAACATTGTGATTGTTTTTTGATACTCTTGTCTTCAATTTGACGTAATGATGTCTGGTTTTGCTGGTGTGTAGAGTGAGAGTCGAGAGAATGATTTAGACGGGGTGTTTTCTTTTTGGACAAGCTAGGAGCTACTGACTTGAGAGAGAGTTTAGTCGATGAGTCGAAGCAGGGCTCTTGCTGAGTGTTAATGGGCTCAAGGTTTTGACCTGGAAACAAATTAGTGGATATCTGGGATTTTTGGCTCATAATGAATCCAAGGTAATATAAGCATAATTGGGCTCTTCTGAAACTGGGCCGATGGTACTGTCACATAGGCTCCTCAGCTAACTTTTTTTTTTCCTCAACACGCTACCCAAGGGCCCGAATATGAGTAAATTATAAATTATGGTCCTGAATATGAGTAAATTATAAATTATTCCCTCTATTTTCTGTAAAAAGAATTGAATAGTCCCTACAGTTTCAAAATTTAATTAATTAGTCTGTGTGTTTATGAATTTATTTGTAACTTAATCAGTTTTAATTTATTTTTTATTTTATAAAATAAATAAATAATATGAAAGATAAATGAAAAAATAATACTTTTTTTCAGTAAATAAAGTAATAATAAATTCGGACTCGTTAATCCACGAATTTCCTTCACTGTCTGATTGATACGTTTCTGGTTCCATGAATGTAACCCACCAATGAATAATGAAGGAATTCAAAAAATGTCATTCAGATTCCAATTCCGGCACAGCCCTGGATAAAATAGCAAAAAAAAAAAAAAAAAAAAAAAACACGCGCGCGCGGGGGGCACATTTTACAACCAGAAACGAAAACATAACAAAGTTTTTCTCTGTTTACCTGCCTGTTATAGATGAAATGCTGAATCAAAGCTTCTTCGCAAAAATTCAAATACTTTCATATTGGGATGATTACCAAAACCCGACAATATTATTGCATCAATCAAATTTCAAATGAAGAATTTCTACCTTTTTCTTTGACAATTAGTCCTATGTGAGTGTAAAGTGTAAACATTATTGGGGTATGAGTAGACTCTGGCCCGGTGGGGGATGCTAGCTAGGCTGCAAGACCCAATTCCTTTACTGGCTATTTCTTGTATTGGGGTTTAGAAAACAACAAATCATTGATGAACAACTAGTTAGAGAGCAATTTCGAGCAACTTTTTGCGCTTTGCAATTCCAAGGTTTTCCATAAATTATCAGAAAATAAACACATTACTTTGTTGTTTTGGTAAAAGAGATTGTGGACAAATTTAATTGATAGATTGGCCAGCAAAAGGAATCATGTTTCTTAGCTGTTCTTCTCGTGACAAAAAATAATGGAAATTAGCTTTCTATTCAGCTATTTAGCTGCAATTGACAAAGTCGCGTGTTCCAAAGAAGTTAGGAAACAGAGATTGTTAATTGTTTGTCCCCTCAGTAGTCCAGTACTTCTAGTCTATTACACACTGAAGTGAATACCACATCTCGAAGTATCCTGACAAGGCCTGCTCTAACCAAGAAATGTAAGCATGTAAGGGCTTTTTAAGTTTTGACATTTTGCTTGGATTCCTGGGAAAATCTCCAATGCACATACCCACACGTTAAAGGTTGAGCTTTCAGGAACTGTATCAGAAACCAAAGGTGGAAAGGAATGAGTTGGCAGTCACTCTCACTTCACTAAGTGCTTAAAGCGGCAACGAATCATGGAGATAGTAAAGAAAAGGAGGGAAACAAAAAGCAAGTCAACAAATAAATAGCTTTCTTTTTATGCTTTTGATCTTGAAGTCTTCCATGCTATTATTGCTTGAGATGCTCCTCAGATTTACCCAAAAGGTACTCCGGTCCTCGTTAAAACTAAATCTACTTTATTAGATTCACTAGCCATGAGTAAATCAAATATCACATCACAATGCAGGACAATTTTTTCTTTACAAGGTCATGGATATCCTTAAGCTAGTTTCCAAGGCATAACAGAGAAAGCACATCATTTCACCTCCTTAATAAGAGTGTTTTGTCCAAGTAAGATATTCTGAAATATTTGTCAAAAACATGATTCTTTTTATTTTCTTGGCAAAATAGAGTACTTTTTGCTGTCTAGATCAAACCATCTATCCATATTAGGTTTTTTTTACCCTTTCCTGCTAAATTCACCAATCAATTTGTGATTTTAAAAAAATTATTAGTGAGTTTTGTAAAATTTTGTAAAATAATTTTAAAATTATTAGTGAAATTAGTAGTAAATAAAAAATTAAAAACTGATATGTGTTGGTGATTTAGTTTAGATACCAAAAAAAAAAAAAACCATGTTTTAACAAATAAGATTAAAAGAACTCTATTTTGACAAATAAAATTTGAAAATATCTTGTTTGTGTAAAACACTCCATAAACTATCCATATGGAATCCTCTAAATTCAGTTAAATTTAGTAATTTACTTGGTGGTAACTTCGTGTAATTCAAGTAAATCTGTTAAATCATTATGGGTAGGAATTGGTTGTCATGCACACCTGACAAATTTAGAAGACAAGATAGATCTTTTATTTGCCGAGAGAACAGGGATCAAAACTTATCCATTGCAGGGACCAGGGACTTCTGTTCAAGCTATATTGGTGACGAGATGGGACGGTTTTGACCAGTAGGCGGTAGTCATAACTCACAAGTGATCCAAAATGAAAAGTTAAGAGTAGCATTTGCTTGGGCTTATAAAGTGAAAAGCCCACGTAAGGATGGCAATAAAAACGGCGAAGGAAAAAGAATCCCTGCTTATCTCAGCAGCATGGGAAGACGCCCATAAAAAAACCCAAAGAATTTTGGTCTTTATTTTCGGGCGTCGTTTTTATAATGTTTGTTTTCAGAAAAAGAAATCAATGCCATCACTTTTGTGGGTCATACATGTTCGATGCTATTTCTTAACGATAAATATCTTTCAATAATTAATTGTGGAAAAAAAGAGATGTGGATATACGACAGGATAAAGCTATTCATAATTGAATGCTTTTCAAGTTAGATGATCAAAGCTCTTCTTTGATCATGTCTTTGAGTATGACTACCAAGGAAGAGCTGAAATGCACAATAATATTTCTGGTGAAAAGGACAGTAAAATCATTCATAAGCTTTCACATAATGATTTGTTGGATGCTTGGATTCGTTTTGAGACCCACTTGGAGCCAGCTATGCGAAAGCTGTTGATCATTATATAGAATTTTAGACGCCTGAGTTTCATGGATAACTAGCCAGTTCTTGTTCGATTCGATTTTCAAATTAATTGGACCAAAAAGTACGTGGTTGGTTGGGAAAAGACACAAATCTATCTACACTCTGGTCTGGTGGGGTACCTAATAATCTTGGTCTCGAGCTCCCTGCAGTCCAATTGGTGTCCCATGTGAAGGAACTAGCTGGGAAGGTCCTGAGTTTTGAAAGAGTAAATTATAAATTAGTCCCTTTTGTTTTAAAAAATAAATAAATCAGTTTTTTTTGTTTTAAAAACTAATTATTTAGTCATGTATATTTTAATTCTGTCAATAAATTAATTCTTTCATTAATTTTTTTGTCAGACTAATACTTTTTTAAGAAATTCTTTTTGGAAAACTAATGAAATGACTAAGTTATTAATGAAATCAAAATATAAGAGACTAAAGAATTAATTTTTAAAAGAGAGAGAGCTAATTAATTTATTTCTCTAAACAAGAGGGACTAGTTTGTAACTTACTCAGTTTTGAATTGATTGAGCCATGAGAGACATGTAGAATAATTGCTAACAGAATCTGCAATTATCATAATAAAACGCTAATTGTCAAGCTTATTTATGATAGCATAGTGAATATTAATGATGACGTGCAAGAAGAATATTTGTGTAGGAATATGTTTATTTTAATTGGTTCTAATTATTGAATAATCAAATTTACCAACAAACTTGAATACTAAACTCTAGGCAGCCCATCTTGTCCCAGACCAAAAAGGGTAACCGCAAATAGCTTATTGGTTGTCCAGAAATTTAAAAATTAAGCATCGGAAACAGCTGAACTGAAAGAAAACTATTTGATGGTGCTTCTGACCTCTTGAAATTGATTTTTTGTATGTAAAAAATAAAAAGTAAAAAAATATTTAAAATTAAAAATTGGTTGTAATGTTACGAAGCTTTAAAATGATATAAAAATCAACCTCGTCACCAAACAGGTTGGTTTTATGATCCGATCACATCTGTAGCTTGATTATGAATTAATTATTTGAAAAACATAATTAATCTTTCTCCAATGAAAAACAAAATTTTACAAAACTGGAGTGCTTGTTTTTTAATATTTTGTTAAAAGACAAAAAACTTGCCGCGTAGAAATAGAGTTATTATATTTACTTACCCAGTGTTTGACAATATCCAAGCAAAACATCGCGCCACATCACCACCCAAGACAGCTGTAAATTGCAAGCGGACACGAAAGCTTTTACTTCCCAAAACACCCTTAAGGTGTCTCTCAGAGTTCCTAATCCACCCCTACGCATTACCATGTCGGCATCGTTGATTGGTGCCAGCTAATCGCATAAAAAACGAAAAAAAAAAACCTATTAAACGACCACGCATAAGGGAATAACAACAAAAGTAAATTGCTTATAGACATAGTTTTTTCTTGCCAATTTTGGCAAGGTTAAATTTGTGTGTGCATATATATATATATATATATACACGCACACGCTCACGTGTATGTTTTCTTATTTGTGTCTGGCAGGAATTTATATTTTTACTAGATGGAAATATCTTTCTTTATGTCAGTTTATATGACAATTTAAATTTTTTTCTTAGAAATTTTATAATACTCAATAAGTAATTAGTAGCATATACATTAGTTAATAATAATTTTATTAATAGAGATGGTGGCAGTAGTCACGATGATGATAAAAATAATTAATACATAAAAAATAAAAATAATATATCATTATTTTAAAAAAATTATTTTTATTTCTTGTTTTTATTTTTACTTTGCATATGAAAATGAAAGGGCATATAATTTTAATTCTCGTTCATATTTTTTATTTTTATTTTCATTTTATTATTGTCAACCAAACAGCTAAAGTGAGAATATAATTTTTAATTCTCTTCACTCTGTTTCTACAAACCAAACAACATTTTAGGGTTTTTTATTAACTTTTTCATCCGTCTCCTAATATATTCAAATTAAACCATTTTCCTTTTTCTTATTGTAATGTTACAAGACGATGGCCCGAGTACAACTCCAACTCCTTGACAGCTAAACTTGGTTTTCAAATATGTTCATTAACATAATTTTTTCTAATTATGAAATAACTGCAACATGACAAATTATTTACTATTAAAAAATTATTTTTTAGTATTTTTCTTAAGATTCAAACAGCCAACAACTTTCAAAGATGTTTCTTAACAAAATTTAAATATAACTAATAAGTTATTATAAGATGGTAAATAAGTTTGTTTTAAAAATCTATCGTAAATAAATAAAATAAAACTCATTTAGTTCCTTTTTTTTTCATCGATTCTCCATTCTAATTACTTTTTTTAATCTTACCCACTCAAAATTGTCTATTTATTCCTTAAATTAGGTTGTAAGAAATGATTTTTTTATAAAGATTTTATAGTTTCATATGAGTAGCTGATCTTTGATTATTATTATTATTATTAATAAAGAAAAACTGCTTGCATGAAAGTTAGCTCGAGATATCATTGGCTTGTAGAAACAAAATATCGCGAATTCCAAACCATTTTTACCTGAATCTATCGTCTTCCATTATCTCGTCCTTCAATGTATTTTTAACGAATACTTTTCCTTCTCTGCTTCTTCCCTCTCGCGTCTGACTCTGCAAATTTTTCTCTGCAGAGAAAGACCAGACCAAACCAAAAAAAACAAGAAACAAGAAACAAGAAACAAAACCACAGCTAAAGCAAAACGCGTAAACCCTAACCAAATACTGTCCCGTCTTAGCTTCCTTTCCTTGTGAATGGAACATCAACAAGTCTCTTCTATTTCTGCTGCTGCTCCGTTTTCGAAGAAGTTGAGCAGTGGCCGTGTATATGGTGGAAAGCATGTGTACGACGGCGTTTTTAGTGGTGGTGGTGGCGCAGCGAAGCTTGGGACTCGGGTGGAGGATTATAGAGAGATATTTGGTGGGTCTGGTGCTACTGGTTCTTCGATTCCGATTCTCGATGTTCCTGAGCTGAATGAGAACATTAAGGTTTCTTCTGTTGGTTCACAAAGGGTTGACTACGCCAAGATTTTTGGTGGTTTTGGAGATGCTGATTTTGGTTTGCCTCATGAAAAGTTCTTCGCTAAACCAAAGAAAGTCAAGAGTTCTATCGATGGAACTCGGTATGTATGGACTGTAAACTTTTCATTTATTATTTGTTTTAGTTTCAAAATTCGGGAAATCTTCTTTGAGGAAAGGGAAGGTTGTTGTTTGAAGTTCAATAAGTGGAAATTTGGATCTTTAACTATGAAAATAAGGCTAAATTTAAGGATTTAGTAGTTTAGACTTGAAGCTGTGCTTGGTTGTATTGTTTCTTAGTTTTAGTAAAACAAGCATGGAATTTAAAAGAAGCAATGCCATAATGTATCGATTAAACTTGGAAAGAGCCTGTAGCAGGTGAATTATTTTGCTTTTTAAAGAAGGGAGAAAACCTTTTCTTTATCAACTTCATACACTTTTCTTCTAAAATGATAGTCAGTCCTTAAGCTAGCCAAATGAATAGCTGGTGTGCTACTTTAATATTCCACAAATCATGAATAAATTTCGGTTGCTGTTCGGTTATTTTGACAATTGAATGGATTCGTTGACGGTATATTCAACTTGTAGAGGCGGAAAATGAATTTTGTTTTCTTGTTTAATTCTGGGTCCAAAATTGTGTAGGTCTCCAGCTGAAGCAAGGTCGTGGAATGCAGGGTCAAAACATTCTAATGTTTCGAAAGAGCGAAAAGGTTCATCACCTGAAGCATCTTTCCAGCCGTTTGATGGCGTGAAACAGTTTAATTTGTCTTACAATAAAAGCAACCCAGGAAACAAAAATGGGACAAATGGAATGACACACTTTGCTGAACTCCATGCAGTTCCTGGTTATACTTTCTTAGTTGATGAAATCACTCCCTCAAAGATGGCTGAAGGTGGCAAGCCAGAACGATCAGTATTAAATGATGCTTGTCTCAATGTTAATGTCAGCAATAGGGTGAAGGAAGATACGGCTCGCAGGAAACCCGTTTCAGGTCCACAATCCAGCATTGCTGTCTCAAACAGTTTTAAAAGTACTGCTGAATTTCAGAAGAAATCAAGTCAAACTAGATCTTTTTCGAATGATTTGCCATTTGATGCATTTGAAATTGGCCTAGGTAGACATCCACCTTCAAGCTCACCATCTAACTCTGGTTATAACAATGGTGGTACCAAATTATCAATGAATTCAAAGTTTGGAGTTTCTAGAAATGATGCTTCTAGAGGTGCATCTGGTAATTATTCACCAGCTTTCTCTGATGAGGAAATGGATGCAAATTCAGATGCCGCTGCCTCAGCAGCTGCACTTAGAAAGGCAATAGAGGAGGCTCAAATGAAGATTAAAATTGCAAAAGAATTGATGGCAAGAAAGAAAGAAGGGCTTCAAAATCGTGCAAAGACAAGCTTTAATAATGGCTGGAAAGCTCAGAAAAGTGAGGTTAAAACTGCAGAAAGGTTAAAAAGATCCAATGAGCTGGTGGGTCTGGAAATGGGTGAAAAGGAGGATACTCCAAAGCAAGAATTTACTGTTTTATCAGAGCCTAATGCTACAAAAGCAAGCCAACTAACTTCAGATTTCGAAGATGAGAAGAAATCTTCTGTTGCTAATAGCGCTATTGGAGAAATGCACGGCATGGAATCCAAATCAAATCGAACAGATAATAGGCTGGAAGAAGCAGAAGAATGGGAATCAACAGAAGAGTTTTTTGAAGCTGGAGACTATGAGGAGCACACGCAAATGTCATCAGAATTTGAGCAGGCAGACAAAGCAGGGAAAATGGCATCATATGATCATGAAAACAAATGGAGAGAGAAGGGGACTGCAGCAGAAAAAATCAAAATGCCAGTGGAGTGCGGCGAGGAAGTATTTAAGGAGGACAAGGTCGAGGAAGAACTAAATCCAGTGGTTGGAACGTTTCAGTGGAATTTATATTCGAACTTCATTAAGCCAGCCAAAAAGCTTCATCATCAGGAAGAAAATGAAGAGAAAATGAGAATTTCTAACAATCACGAAGAAGCTGATCAAACACCTGTAGTGTCCAATGAATGGGAAGACTGTGAAACTAAGCTGGAAAAACTTCATCAACCCGAAGGAAAAACAAAACTTCCTACTCAGGAGTTGGAGGAGAACGAAGATATGAAGGAATTAAAAGATGGCCACGAATGGGTGGAAATTGAGAAGAAACAAAGGGAGGCACAAGATCATAAGGAAATGGAGAATAGACCAGGTGAAGTTCTGATTAGGGAGGATAATGAAAGAAGCCCAGATCAGACATACGAGAAAAAAGAAAATGAGGTACAGCAAGAAGACTGGGACAGGGTAGAATGTGGAATGAAACAGGAAGGAGATTGGAGCCTAGAAGAAAATGAGGAGAAACAAAATGATTTGCACATGGGATCAGATATATCGGGTGAAGATGGCAGGACAGAATGGACCAAGAAGCTGGAACAATTCGTGGAGGATGAGGAAATACTAAAAAAAAGTGATCAGATGAATGAAACCGAGAAGATACAAGAAATGATGTGTGAAGAGGTAGAAACTAAGAGGTTAAGCTCGGAGAGTTATCAGGGGGAGAAGATGAGAAGACCATGGAAGTGACTGAACAGTGCTTAAGATATGAGGGTGACAGTCTTGAAATGGCCAAGGATGCAAATGAGCAGGATGAAAATGAGAACCTGGGTGGGATTGACAACGCCTTGGGACGTAAAATAAACTTTGCTGTTGGGGATATAAAGGCAGAAGTACTTACAGCCAAGGAGAATAAACGGATAGTGGAGGTAACTGAATTTTCCCCTCTATCACAAGCAACTGAAGAGTCAAAGGCAGTCGAAGATGCAAACAGCCTGGAGGAACAGAATTGTGAAATTGCTGGCTTTGCTCAAGGTTTCACTGGACTTGATAGGATTAAGAAGCAAACTGCTGATGTAACTGGGGCTCTTCGTATTGGTGAAAATGGGATATATTTTGGTGAAAATAACATTAACTTTGAAAACAAGCAAAATGAGCATCCCGTGACAGAATACAAGAGCATGTCCAATCAGGAAAAATGTGATGAAGAAGCAACTGATGAATTGGATGATAATGATGATGTTGATATCTGTGAACCTGAAGTTGGCACTAATAATGAAGAAAGTGAGAAGAGTTCAATATCTTCTCACAATGAAAGATGGTCCAGTGACGAGACAGAATCACTTCATGATCCAGAGTGTTGTGTTGAAGAAGCTGCTTGTGAATTAGGAGAAAATAATGACGACATCAAGGAGTCTGAAGTTACAGCGAATCATGAAAAAGGTGACGAGACAGAATCACTTCATGATCCAGAGTGTTGTGTTGAAGAAGCTGCTTGTGAATTAGGAGAAAATAATGACGACATCAAGGAGTCTGAAGTTACAGTGAATCATGAAAAAGATGAGAATTCTTTTGAATCATCTCAAGAAGATAGATGGGTAGATAGTGATACTGATACCGAAGCAATTCAGCAACCTTGTAAATTTGAAGAGCAAGGGAAGACCACAGATATATCCGTGGAAGAGGAATTGAGCCAAAGCACCAGCAAGAAAGAGGAGAATCATCACAACAATGTAGCAATGGAAGAGAAGGAAGCTGAAGATTATTTGCTAAGGGAGGTGGAGGTGGAAAAGGAACACTTTAGGAAAAAGGAAGTGAAAGAGAGGGAAATAGAAAGAGAAAAGGAGAGAATAGTTGTTGAAAGGGCAATACGAGAAGCTCGGGAAAGGGCTTTTGCAGAAGCCCGAGAAAGGGCAGAAAGAACTGCTGTTGAGAGAGCAGCTGCAGAAGCTCATCAAAGGTTAAAGGCTGGGGTCCGAGAAAGGCTAGAGAAGGCTCCTCCAGAACCTAATAATAAGTTGGCTGCTGAAAAGGCCTCTATGGAAGCCAAACTAAAAGCTGAACGTGCTGCCGTAGAGAGAGCAACTGCAGAGGCTCGGCAGCGTGCCCTAGATAAAGCATTAACTGAGAAGGCTGCTTCTAAGACAAGAAATCAGGCTGAAAAGTCTGCAGCTGAGAGATTTTCAAGCGTTTCAAAAGCTAATGGGATGAATTCCAGAGTAAGTGTCTTTACTTATATTTTCCCTGCTCTTTTTGTTATCCGTAAAAGCATTCTGCATGGAAAATTAACAGTTGTGGAATTTCTAACAGGATAAACAATACAACGAGCCAGGTCCTTCTAGCACTTCGAGATTTCCAGTTTCTTCAAATCATAGTGGTATGTAACATTTTGAAGTACCCCCCATATGATATATATAGGAGGCTTTATTATTTCAAAAGGATATTAAACTCCGCTTCTTTTTATGCTGCTCCTAAGCAATTCATGTTTTGCTTTATAATTTCCCCACTCAACAGAAGGAGTTAACGGAGGTAATGGTGAATCAGCTCAGAGTAAAGCCACGATGGAAAGACATCAAAGAACAGCAGAGCGTGCGGTATGCTGCTTGCACCTGATTCAGATATAGGAATTTAAATTTTCTGACTTCTGACAAACATACTTCTGATTTTGGTATCTTCCAGGCAAAAGCTCTCGCTGAGAAGAATATGCGCGATCTTCTTGCTCAGAAAGAGCAGGCAGAGAGAAATGTAATCATCTGCTCAAATAACATTTTAAAATATTATCAACTCCATTAAGGTTTGGATACTTCTTTTCTCACTGTCTTTTACTGAATATTGATGGCAGAGGCTGGCAGAAACTTTGGATGCTGATGTCAAGAGATGGTCGAGTGGGAAAGAGAGGAACTTGCGTGCTCTGCTTTCAACACTGCAATATGTGTGTAGAAACCTCCCGCTTATACCCATTAATAAATTCTATAAATTCACTCCACGATGCATTATGAATTTTATGATTTTCAACATAATTTATTGGCTTTTCATTTTACTAGCGAACTTATTCTTGGTCACGCTTCTTGTGTTTGCAGATCCTTGGCCCTGATAGTGGCTGGCAGCCAATTCCTCTGACTGACCTTGTATCAAGCACTGGTGTGAAAAAAGCTTACCGAAAGGCCACTCTATTTGTTCATCCTGACAAGTTGCAGCAACGAGGTGCAAGCATACAACAGAAATACACTTGTGAGAAGGTTTTTGATCTTCTGAAGGTGTGCTACTCTTACCTCCTCTTCTTCTAGGAAAATTAACCGCAGCATGTCATGACTTAGTAGAACTGCATTCATATTACTTTGAGGGATTGGGATAGAAACTAAAGCATGAAGGATAATTGCAGACGTCTTGGTATAGGTCTTTGAACTTTAAAAAAGGCACTTGACAACATATGCATCTAGCGTTGAAACGGAGCCTTAATTCCTTACTTGCATCTTTCTCTTTCTTATGTCTGTCCTGGATTAATACAAGTGATCTTTTGTCTATTTTGTTGCCCCAGGATGCTTGGAACAAATTTGGTGCAGAAGAACGGTAGAAAATGTCAACCCTCATCCTTACGGTTGAATTGCATTTATTGGAGACAAAATTCACGCATAATTTTGTATCCTGAATCCTTTACCGTAGGCAATATACACCCACATTGTATCCTCGGTCCACGATACTTGGGTGAATTCTTGTAGTAGGTTAAATTTTTGTAGAGCGCTCATTTTCCCATCTACGCAACTTAAAAGCTGTCAAATGGGGTCCTTGCTGTTTAATTCATACCTTAATATGCTAATTCAAAACAATACGGGGATGTCAAGCATAGATGAAATATGCAGAAACTGTAAACCTTCAAACTGACAATGGTAACTAAATTGCAGCTACCTTCAAACTGTCTTTAAGTTTCTCCCAAGGAAAATACTGGCAATCCTCTGAAGCTTAACCGTCATGATAGGGCTGTACAGATTACCCCCACAATATACTACGCCTCTTCAAATTAAAAATAATGATGTTGTGAAGCCTTGCTTTGGAAATTGGTTATGGCTGATCCGGAATCAAAAGCACTTGCAGCTTTATAGAATTGTCATGCATGTGCTTGGGTATACCTCTTCAAGAAAGAAAGCATGTTAAGTGTAGATTTGCAGAAAACGTAATTTTGAAACTGATGATGGTAACTTAACAGGCACCCAGATAACAATGTGTGTTCCTTCGAAAGAAGATGCTGGTAATACTCAAAAGTTACCACCAGAGTGACTAAGTACCGTCTTCTAAGGTCTCACCATTTTACAAGAAACAAAGAAACGGAAACTAGGCAGAGCTACAGATACTACCCACGAAATTCTACATCTGTTCAAACCGAAATGAAATTGTGAAGTAGACATTTTGAAATAACTGGATTAGGCATGCTGATACAAGATCACAAACCAAGCACATGTAGCATTATAGCGTTCTGTGCATGCATGCGATTCTCAGCTTGCGGAAAGACAACAGAGTTTGGAGCTTCAATGACACCATCAGTGACCTCGACACCCCTTTCAGCTGGTAAACAGTGCATGAAATAAGCTTTTGGGCCAGCCAACTTCATCAGATATTCATCCACCTGCAATATATTTCATTGGAAATGGAAATCATGAACTAAGATCTTCATTAAATAAACAATTTGAGAATTCACTATAGGCATAATCTTGTGTATCACAGTAAAATAGATCGTTAGGAGAGTTCAAAATGAATTGCATGAGAAAGTACATTATTTGACAAAAGGTTTGGAAACTTGGCGGCTGCCAATATCATAGGTGTTTCTCAGATTCATCAGGGAATAGAAAGAAACTGAAACATAATATGGTGTGTTCTTCAATATAAAGTAGTCAGCACATCTATGTAAAATGAATAAACCAGAAATTAACAATAACTTGCATGGATTTTACTTTGTTTCTGCATGAGAAGCTTAAAACCTTTGTAATCAATAGTTTGGGAAAAGAAGTATATATACCTGAAATCCTTGAAATACTTGGCGACGTTGTGCAGCCTCTTCCTTTTGCCCCATGCTGGCCCACACATCAGAATACACAACATCAGCTCCTCTAACGGCTTCCTGTGGGTCATTAGTAATCTCAATCTGGCTGATTCCAGCCTGTTGTGCCTTCTGTATGGTTTTTGCATCTGGTTCAAAACCTTTAGGGCAAGCGCAGACAAAGTGGAAAGGAATCACAGCTGCCAACAGAAGCCAAGAGTGCACAATGTTATTCCCATCCCCAACATATACAACCTGAATTTGTAGCAGTGGACAAGTTAGGTTAGAATTGTAAGCAACTGAGTGAGCACGTGCAAAGACAAAATAAAACTACAAAGAAAGCACAATGAACTAACCTTAGTTCCTTCCAACCGCCCAACATGTTCAATTATTGTGAGGGCATCAGCTATTATTTGGCAAGGATGGTTATAGTCAGTCAGGCCATTAATAACAGGTACTGTTGCATATTTTGCCAGATCTAGGATGTCCTGCGAAAGAACAAGTAAGCAACTGCATTTGCAAATACACTCATGAAAGGAAATATCTTTAAATCTAACTTAAAAACACCTCAAAACTCCCTAACCACTTATTTCCAAGCCAAAAACCTTTACTAAGCTCTGAGCAGTTCAGTTTATAAAACCCGCATACATGAAAGGAATTAACCATAAATGAACTAATCAGAAGGAATTTAACATAAACATAAGAAACTCACCGGCATACCTGATGAGCAAAAACACGTGCCATAATTATATCATTATAGCGTGACAAAACACGAGCAACATCACGAGTTTCCTCTCGTTTACCCATCTGAATATCATCAGGCCCTAAATATATAGCATGACCTCCAAGCAAAACGAATCCAGTCTCAAATGAAACTCGTGTCCTCATGGATGGCTTAGCAAAGATCATAGCCATTGTTTTCCCTTTAAATGGAAGGAATGTCCTGTCTCCAGATTTTAACAGCGCCTTGACTTCTATAGCCCGGTCTAAGATCTTCATAACAGTGGCTTTGTCAAAATCACTGATGTGAAGAAAATCCTTCATCCCTGCTTTTGCTGTAAAATATGGAACCAAACAGAAGGCATATAAGCTCTAAATATCTGGCGGTACTCTTTGAATGGCAAGACATTAAAATGTTACCAGTAATTAGGTAAAAAAAAAGCACAAGCTAAATGGAGAGGCTTGGGGTTGTATATCAGTAATCCATAAAGTTGAAAAACATTTGAAAACAATAGCAAAATCGTTTCATGGCTTAAATTTCAATGCCAAAAAAGGCTGCTCGCCAAGTACAAACATAATTGAATCGCTTAACCTAATTAACAAGCTAGGTGAGAAGTTTTTTAACGCATTAAAGGCTTCCAAAGAGGCAGCGATGTCCACCGAACGAAATATCCCATCGAAGAAGGCAATGCTATTTTCTGCGTCTCAAGAACCTATCCAAATCCATAATCAATCTACAAACTAACAACATTTCTTCATCTGTCAAGCCTTTCCAAATCAAAAACCCTAATCCCTGCATTCTTATCAAACAATGTCTAAACCCTAATTCCATTTCAACAAGCAATCAATCAAGCGAATAACTGCATTTTCACTCGAACGAAATGACATAGGAAGACAATAAGTAAGAACATCACATACTAACACAGACCTGGTCCGTTGACGGAAGATGGAGGAGGAGGTGAAGGAGTGGCAGAGGATAAGGTAGTCTGGCACGAGATTCTTCCACGAATAGCTCGAGACGGCACCGATACGGCCGAGAAGCGGGAGGGTCGAGAGATATGAGTAGCGAACAAAGCAGAAGATGAGGAGGAGAGAAACGCTTTGTTCGAAGGAACTGCAGAGTGACAAGAAATCGCCCCCATTTGTGTTTATTTTCTTCGTTGGGAGTTTGACAGTTTGTTACAGCGAGTCAGAGATCCAGCAGAGAGTAGAGATTGGGTGTGGAGTGTGGCCTACGGAGGGGGTTTTACAACTTTATATCCGATTAGTTTAAATAAATGGCTCTGGATTTTGTAGAAACGGCGACGTTTCTTTTGGATTTCCAACACTTGAGCTAAACGAGTTAATTGGGCTTAGATGTTGTTATTTGGGCCTCATGGCTTATATTTTGGCCTATGAGCTACTTATTTTGGCACTTGAAATCGGTTCAATGCGGAAAGCTGCACTGTTTTAGGTTCCATGCTATTTAACAAATTAGTAGTATTAAGAAAATTTTGTGCTATTGCTATTGATGAAATCTATCATTTAGTAGAAGTTTTCTATTTATCTTATTATTTTTAAGAATAATTCGAGATACAAAAGCACATAAAAGTGACATTTAATTGGATAATAACCTTACACTACTATCATAATAAAAAGTAGACGACTCATCCTTGTCAGATTAAAAAAAAAAAAAAAAAAGCGCAAATCACACAACTATTATTGTCGAGGGTACAGCTTGCGCCATTGACATCCATCTAATTAGGAATAGCAGGGGCCTTAGGACCGGCAGGAACCACTCCATTTTCTTTGCATTCCTTAATGGCTTCTTTTTCATGAGAAAGGGGAATTAGTCCCTTTTCTCTGCATGTTTCCAGAGCACCTACGAACATATCCTCCAAGCTGTATTTGAACTCGAAACCCAAGTCCGTCAGCTTTTTGGATGTGAAAACAACTCTCGCCAAATCCTCATCGATGTCCTTCAACCTGATCACCATGACGCTTTAATTAGCCCAGGTAAAGAAAAAAATAATTGCCATACGAGGGGAAAAATTAAATTTAATTGTATTAGGTGAGAAACTTACCTAGATGGAACGTTGTATTCTGGGCATTTTTCTCTGAGTAATTTGGCAAGATCATGAATGTTGGCATCATGCGAAGAACAAATGTAGCGGCCCTCTGCTTTTGGATTCTCAAACAAAACTATATGAGCATTGCAGAGGTCATCCAAATGCACATAATTTCCCTGCTTTATAATCCCATAGTGGGCTTCATTTCCTGTTGCCACAAGAAAAACATCACTCCTTATGTCACATTTAAGAACAGTAATTTAATAATTAGCCCAAAAATGGGAAGGAGATATATATACCAGTGATGAGTGAAAGTGCGGTTAGAAGACTTGGTGGCATTGACTGCATGATGAATGGCCCAACAACAAGAGTTGGTATGATGCTGATAAAATCCAAGTTATTTTCTTTAGCAAAATTCCATGCAGCTTGCTCAGCTAGAGTCTTGGACACGAAATACATCTGGTAACCAAGGTAAATTTCAAAAATTATCTTAATTAGAAATCGAGAGTAGATTTTATACAGAAAAAGGAAAGAAGTGAAATTAAAATGCTTAATAGTACTAACCCATCCAGTCATTTTTATGGACCGAACAAATTCCAAATCACTCCAGCAGCTTTCGTCATACACTGGTTTTTTGTGTTCTTCAACATCTACAGTTCCTGCTGAAGACGTGAATACTATCCTTCTCACTGTTTTTGCTTTGGCACATGCTTTCATGATGTCCAGTACCCCATTAATCGTTGGCTTGATCACCTCATTCTGCCAAAGAGGAAATAAACCTTCTAACATATATGATTCTGTATTTTGATGTCTTTTACGTTACAGCTTGTGAAGTTAGAAGTCATACCTCAGGGTCCTTGGACTCAAAATCCATGGGAGTAGCAACATGGAACACTCCTGTGCACCCTTGAATTGCTTCATCAAAACTCCCCTCCACAGAAAGATCAGCTTTCCATAAAGTCAAGTGGGTATCAGCCTTTGGCAATTCCAGCAAATGCTTCACCTTCTTTGTGTTGTCTGTCAACGAGATATTGCTGAGAAAAGCTAAAAAAAACCAAAGCTGTAATAGAAATTATTTATAAGATGTTTGAACCAGGCTAACCAGGGTCGCGGACTGTCGCTCGGACCTTATAACCTTTCTCTAGGAGTCGCATAATCAGCCATGAGCCGATGAAGCCAGAGGCACCTGTCACACAGACTGTTTCAGCTTCTGCTCCCATCTCTAATTTTCAATCTGATATGCAAAGAAACAGGGTGAACTAGGAAATTGAAAGCAAAGAAGGTACAGTGTATGACGTTGCTAAACTAAAAATATTTGGTAAGTCTTCTCAGAATTGATTGCTTGTTTTATAGATAGACAATCCTGCTTCTTCGCATACCAGATTTTTTTTTTTTTTTTTGCCCTTTTTGTTTGGCTGGTCCCACGTTTGAGTTTTTGTTTGATATTCCAACTGGTGATTAGCTGAGCTAACAGTCTTACCACGTGTCTTATGGTGGTTGCACCTACGAAGTTTGCTGCTTACTTGAGTTGTACCTTGTCCTTCTATGCTGCTAGTTGTGAGTTGTTCCTAAAAAAGCTTTTTAATTAACAAGTGAATACAAAAAGGAAATTAACTCGTAATACGGTGCAGGTGATTTGCAAAAAATAAATTTTCCTACGAAATTACTATTTTTTGACTTTTTTTTATATTTTTTATTTTTTAGATCCAAATGAATTTTGAAAAATATTTATAAATAAAATCTAAACGTATTATCAAGCAGAGACTAATATGGTTAGTGATCATCCTATCTAACTAATTGTGTGGATTTTCTATGAGAAATTAAATCAGTCTTAAGTTAATTAACCATGATAGCAACATTAGGTGCGTTGACCGTTAAAACCAAATAACATATCACGTAGTTACCATTCAAAGGGAAGCAGGAGATTGCTAAAAGTGACATCGAGAGCTATATGGTATATGAGATAGCAACTTGGGAATTGCGAATTTGCGACAGTGACTGATTTCTAATTGTTATCTACCTTCGGTTTTACAAGTTTCCTACTATTCCATTTATAGGCTTTGCAGTCTAAATTTTTTTTAAAGCTTGGCTAAACTCGTTATTTGCATTTATGTTTTCATCAATTAATATAAAAAAATATATGTTATCAATTCAGTAAATTGAATATTGAATATCTGTATTTTTTTATTTTAGTATATTGAGTATATTTGCCTAAATTGAAAAGAAAACTACTCAATGAAATGATAATACAGGTAACAATATTAATACAAATTGAATTAATCACACATTTATACCATATATTCTTTGATTTTTTTAATTAAAATTTTAATTTTTTTCACTCAATTAAAATCTTCTACCATTCCAAATTTGTTGCTTCGGATTTTTTGTTATAAAATCATCGATCAATGATCGATCCGTAGCACTCGTAAAATAAGAAATCTTAACTATGTGTTGATTACCGATTGATAATATTATAACGAAGATCCGAAATAATAAATCTAAAAAAACAAAGGATCTCAACAAAGTTAAACAAGAATAGAAGATCTTAATTAGAAAAAATTAAAAAAATACAAAATATAAATATGAGAAAAATTCAATTAAAAATAAAAGAAAGTTGATAAAAATAAATCACATACCGAAGAATAATACTCAATTGATTGAGATAAATTTTTTATTTTAAGAAATCACACCCCATTGCCTTAAATTGAAAATATAAATATTCAATTAACCAAATTAATAACATGAGAACTTTTTAAACAAATTGATGAAAACACAAGATGTTATAAAAGTGCATTTAGTCTAAAAGTTTAAACATTAATCATTAAATTAGTTAAGAAACTCCTTCTTTTTATCATTGTTCTTACTCTTCTCTCGTTCCATCCCTTCAAATTTCTATCCATAAGATGATATTTTATTAAAATAATTTAAAAAATAGAAGAACTCAAAAAATAGACTTCAAAAGTGGGATCATCAGTATCATTAACTATTCAATGATCAAGAGTACTAAAACTAAAACTTTTTAAGAATCACAAAGAAAATAAATATTCAAAAAATTTAAATCATAGAGGTGAAACATGAATAGTCTGCATGTAAAGATAGAAAAAAAATGTTTTACAATATCTTTACTGGATGACGTTGATCCTCGTCGTTCGATGGAAAATTAAAATTTAACGTCCCGGTAAGCTAGTTTGTTTGGATTTCAAAACAATGCTATGACCATTTATCCATTTGCTTGGCCTTAAACATATCTAATAATTCTGTGTCATTGTCGGGTTCTGTTTTGTACCGTAAAGACGATGTAGATTAGTGTGACCGTTTGTCAACTTGTAGAATTGTAGTAAATTATAAATCAGTCCTTCTAAATTTTCAAAATAAATCAAATAATTCTTATAGTTTCATAAACTGATTAATTAGTCCCTACATTTTAAAATTTATTTATAACTTAATTCTTTTTGTTCCTTTTCTTTTAAATAGAAAATAAAAAATGGAATAATCAATTTTTAAAATAAAATAATATCAAATTACTCAACATCAGCACTAGTTACAAAATTAATTATTTAATTGTTTTCAAAAACTAGAATATAATAATTACTCTTCTATGTTTTAAGGAGATCATTCTCTTTTTTACACAGATTTAAAAATAGATTATTAATTATTATATCATATTATCATTCTTTATTTATATTTTTAAAAAATATATATTTTACATTTTTTTATAAAAAAAATTTTAGTTAAACTTTTTTTAAATACATCTCTTAAAATTTTGATTAATTTTTTTTTTAAGAATACATATAAATAAAAATTAAATAATTTCTTTAACACATCGGGAATAATTTACTTCTAGAATGTTTTCGCCTTTGGGGTCTCTTTTCCTTTGGAAGAGTTGATGAAGCAGATGTAACTAGCCTTCACCCGCATTTCCATCACGTGTTAACCGATCAACTGTCACTGCACACGTGCAGTGAGCTGCTCACGATTTTTGAAAAGACAACTAAGTCCCTGGAGTCTGCGGGTGCAACCAGACGAATTCTTTTAGGACAGAGCTAGAGCCTATTGTTACGCTCCGCCTAAAGCTGTCAACGTAATGAATGGGCCGACTTGTTACCGAACTTGGGTTTTGCATCACGAAAATTAATGGTGTTAAAGACCCAAAAACAAACAGAAACTAATCTTATTAGTGGCAGAGCAAAGTGGTCCCTGGTCATAAAACTCTATTAGGCAAGACTAGCGTTTTTTTTTTTTTTTTTAATACGTCAATCTAAGCTTGCTCCTTTTGTTTTTCCAGCAATTTATTTGCTTCCTCTTCGCTTTTATTCTTGTTTTTCTTTTCCTTTCCTTTCAAGAGAACAAGCTAAACCGTTAGACCCTTGTGCATAGGGGCTGTATTTTTATATTCTTCTCTATGTTTTCTTTGAGTCTGATATACGTGGATGAGTAGGTAAAGGAAATACTATGAAATATAAGCATGCATTTAAATCCAAAACTAATAAATTTTTTTTTTTGAAGAAACCTCAATTTAGTTTTAAAGCTATTCACTCGTTTTTAGTTAAGTTTCAACCCTATAAATTTCATAATCAGATTTGAAAAATTCTCAATTCTCAATCATGTCTTTTTATTAATATTCATCGATATTTTTAATATATATATTTTTTTTCAAATTGATGCTTTTTTACTACGTGAATATGCACATTAAATTAAAAAATTTAATATTTATTAACTTTTCTATCAAATTTCTCCAAATCAACATGCTTGTATTGTTTCAAATATACAAATTAGACTTAGAAAGTATGATAGAAATTTTTTTAAAAAAAAGTTTTATGAAAAGTTTGGAACTAAATTGGAGTTTCTCCTAAAAAATAATACTCAACTCAAAACTTGTATAGTTTTATAAACCAATAAATTTCATCAATCAGATCTAAAAAATTCTCAATCATGTCTTTTTGTTAATATTCATAGCTATTTTTATCATTTTTTTTCAAATTGATGTTATTTTAGTACATGAACATGCACATTAAATTAAAAATTTTAATATTTATTAACTTTTCTATCAAATTTCTTCAAATCAGCAAAATTTTATTGTATCAAATATACAAATTAGACTTAAAAAATTTGATAGAAATTGAAAAAAAAAAACAGTTTTATGAAAAGTTTGAAACTAAATTGAGGTTTCTCCTAAAAAATAATACTCGGCTCAAAACTTGTATAGTTTCATAAACTTGGTGTATGTTATGAATTTTTAAACTTACATTGCCTGAGTCCTTCGTATCAGTATAATACATATATACATGATTGCTAAATTTATTATTGAATTTTATTTTGCCAAAAAGAAAGTTATCAATCACATACAACCTAGCTAGTTGTCTGGAATCTCAAAATAAGTTTTTCTTTTTAACTTTTTTACAAGCTTACAAATGAGTCTGCCGATTAATCTGATTCATATGCCTCATGGAATTAAATTTAATTTAATTGAGATTAAACTCTATTTGTTTTTAAAACGAACTTTAAAATATAATTTTCGTTAACCGTAAGCCTGATGAGAATAATAAATAAAAAAAGTTGTGTTGATGTAATTAGTATAAAATATAAATTTGTTTTAATTTATGGATTTGTCATATTTAGGCATGTTTTAATTTTGAAAGATAGAAATAAATTATTCTTCAATATTTTAGAGATTTAGACATAATTAGGTTGTTAGAGTTTCATTTTGTCTAAGCCTGTAAATGGGTTTTGATATGTATGAATTTTAGGAGTTTTTGATTTCCATAAAAAGTGAGATGGTTTTCAACTTCATTATTTTAAAAACTTTAAAACTTACATTCGAGAATACATTAATTCTTATGACATCCCAAACATGACGTATTACTTACATTCTTGTCCTTTTTGAAATATGACATCAATATTTTTCTTATACCTATGGTTCGTGTCTCTGTTATATCCAACGGTCCCTTTACCACTTTCTATTTTTTCTTTTCTAGAATGTTGTTTTCGTTTCTGTTAATGAATGATCGTTGCTTTCATTAAAAAAAAATGACAAGAAGAAAAAGAAGCCTCTGCTACGCGGCCCATTAAATGCACAAAACTCTAATGCATGGAGGTTAAAGTCGGCTTCTCCCGGCTGAAGTCCGTCTGAATCTTCAAGCTCTTACCCAATTAGTAAGTTTCAATGGCTGATGCTCGACAGCGCTGGTTGACGATACATTACAAGGTGTTCTTGTATAAT